AAATGATAACGGAGAACTGTTTGCATACTTCTGCACATTCAACGATTTAGTGATTGGAGGCAGTGTGTACAAACACAAGGATATTCACAAAGCGACATGGAGTTGACTTCACCAGACACCAGGACACAATAAAAATCAGATGGACTTCATTTCAATATGAAGAGAATGGGAACGCAGCCTACTGGACACAAGATCAACAAGACGAGCAGATGTAGGTTCACACCATTATCCAGTACAAGGAACCTTCCAAATCAAGTTGAAAGCCTTGAAAGAAGTTGGTGATAGATTACAGTTCACGTTCAACATTCAGAACAGAAACTGAAGGACAAAACTACAAAAGATATCCTCACGTCAGCCATCAAGACAAAATGGGAGACATTTAGCAACATCCTTTAAGAAACCTGAAAGGAAGAACACTGAAACTCTTTGAAAGAAACGTGGAAGTAAACCTGCATAACCGTATTAGGTAGGAAGAAGAAAGAAGACAAGGAGTGGAATGGATCTTGACGGACACGTGAAAGCTAATAGAGGAGTGACGGGAAGATGGTGAAGCTGAAGATGAACCAGTGCAGTGCAGTGCAGGGATGCATAACGAAAAGAGGAATTGAGTACAACGTATAAAACACTACACTGGACTAAAGAAGTGAAGAGTGAGCGCAAAGACAAAAGACACTTCGACGACACATTGCCAAGTGAAGCAGAACAGGCCGCTGGTAGCAGAGAGAGAAAGAGAGACCCGACCACATTATATCAAATAACCACGCTACCATCTAGGAAGAGATCAACTCAGATGAAACCAAAGATAGTGAAGGAAACTTAATTACCGAAGAGGAGGAACAAAGAAAACGATGGGCTGATCACTTCAAAAAACTCTTGAATCGACCACCACCACCTGCAACTCGTCCAGAAGTACCACCAACAACGGCAGAACTATCAAAGAACACAGGCCCTCCGACAAAAGCAGAAGTCCTGAATGCCATAAAACTGCTGAAATCCGGGAAAGCAGTAGGACCAGATGGAATTTCTCCAGAAGTACTCAAAACAGATGCAGAGATTTCAATGGACATGCTCACAACACTACTGCAGAGGGTTTGAAGGGAAGGAAAGGTACCTGCAGATTGGAAGAAGGGCTACCTTGTCAAATTCCCAAAGCAAGGAGACCTAAGCCTTTGCAAGAACTGGCGAGGAATCATGCTGCTGTTCACCCAAGGCAAGCAAAATATTATGCCGCATCATCCTGAAGACACTAAAGGATGCACTGGATTCAAAACTACGACCGGAACTGGCTGGCTGGCTTCAGGAAGTACAAATCATGTGCGGACCAAATTGCAACGATACGCATCATCATAGAACAGAGTATAGAATGGTAGTCGACTCCATTGACTTTGAAAAGGCTTTGAACAGTGTCGACTGAGAAGAAATTTGGCATTTGCTTCAACACTACGGAGTGCCACTAGTCCTTATCAACCTCATTCAACAGCTACATGAAGACGCCATATGCCAAGTGATCCACAATGGAAAGCTCTGTGACGCCTTTGAAGTGAAAACAAGACTGCCTACTATCACCGATGATCTTCCTGATTGTGATCAACTGGATCATGCAGCAAACAGTCAAGAGCGAGAAGACGGGCATACGCTGACTGGACCGATGAAAACACTCCAGGAGAAAATTTGGATTTCGCCGATGATGATTTATGTCTAGTGTCGCACAAAGTCGGAGATCTACAGGAGAAAACTAGCAAGTTGACAGAAGAGGTGAGGCAGCGAAAACGGGAATTCAAGTGAATGTATAGAAGACAGAGGTGATGAAGATACCCAACCAACAACAGCATCAACAAGCACCAATCACCATTAAGGGGAGAAACTTAAAGGAAGTTGTCTCTCATCTACCACCTAGGCAGCATCGTTTCAACTACAGGTGGCGACACAGGCAAGGATGTCGATAACAGGATTGGAAAGACAGCAAGACAGGCTTTCACTGATTTGAAATCAGTGTGGATATCCACTGCACTCAGCATAAAGAACAAGATCCCGATTTTCAACACCAATGTAAAGTCAGTGCTTCTGCATGGTTCAGAGACTTGGCGTGTCACGAGAAGCATTTCCAACAAACTACAGACATACATCAGCAGCTGACACCTACACTCACTCGATACTGAAACTCAGATGGCCAGAAAGAATAAGGCAACAAGGAACTCTGGCTGGTGACGAACCAACCAAGAACCTATCGCTGAACAAATATGCAGTGGAAGGAAGTGTAGATGGATTGGATTGAGCATACACTGAGAAGGCCGACTGGGGACATCACGCTCTAGGTCAGGCCCTCGAGTGGAATCCAAATGGGAAACGATGAGTTGGCCGTCCCAGCCGAGGGTGACATCGAGGAGATCATGTGAGGAAGAAATGAAAGCTTGTGGGCGGTCGTCGAGTCAGGTTGAAGTGACTGCAGAGAAGAGAGTGCAATGTAGGCGTGCTACTGAAGCCCTATGTTCCACTAGGAACCCAAGAGAATAATAATAATAATAATAGAGCATCTCTCACCTTGCCTTGATATAACGTGTACCTAGTTAGACTGAATTTTTGAATTGTACCGTTTTTTCTCTAGCTCAAAATGTTTTGAGAATCTGGTTAGTGTTAACCAGAACCCTGAAGCCATCTATGTAAGATATGTTAATAATCGTGTGATTCTTAACTAAATTTGTCCAAGTTGTGGGTAGATGATGAGAAACCTACGAAATAAGGTGATGTGCGTCTTGCGCTTTTTACATTTATTAAGGGGATTAAATGCATCACGACAATGCATTCGTAGCTCCTAATTTCATCTTCCTCATACCCTACGTTTGGGACAAGAAACGTGAGATTAGTGTGGCTATGAAACCAGTAAGGGATAAATCATAATCGAACGCTTGCAAGGAAATACAATGAAAGAAACTTCCGTTTACCATCTCTTTCCATACAACTACATAAACCAGTGTTTCTCTGGTTCGAATCCGGCTACCGCCCAGATTTTCATTTTACCTTCAATCACCCAGTAAAAAATACACAAACATGGTTGACAAGCATAGACATTCTCGGTCCGAATTGTAAACATTCTATATCCATAGTCAATTAATGTACCTCTTTTAATCGATATTTAAATTTAGATAAAGTATTTGACGGTTGACAGAACGTTGATAGTTCAAGCTAACCTAAAGGTGGCAAGGACTGTAAGCTCACTTAAAGTTAGGGTTTTAATAGACATAAAGTTACTCATAGACTATAATTCACCAGTCAATGAGTATCAGCATGAGACCTGGCAATACTGCGCAGTGGTTTCAGCCGCCAAACCTCAAACCAGCACACCTATGTACAAGCCAGTAAGGTGTAAGATGAAATAGGAAAAAATAATAAGTCATTGGAAGGAAGAGGGGGTAAAAACAAACAGCAGAATGTGATAGGATGATAACGAAGACCGTGTGCGGACGTATCTGTTGTCATGCAAACTCCGATCAGGAAGTTTATAATTTCCTACGCTGCTCAGGTCAACAGTCAAAAGACTGATACCATCATCCAGTCTAACTATCTGTTCTCTAAAATAATCATACCTTAATTAATATTGTGATGGCGTAGACACTAGTTAGACGCGCCTAACATATGTTTCAGCCACTTGAGTTAACGTAGGCCTACAACCGCATCAAGCAATTTACCTCTTTTGCCTAAAACTCTACAAATGACTTTTGTGTTACTGACATAATGGTTCTATAACAGAAGATCGCAACTGAGGCTAACGGCAGTCAAACACCTAAAGCTTTTTCATTCCCTTCACCTTTAATGTTCATGTTTCAAAGCCGTTTGATAGAACAGAGCGAATTACTTAGTACACGCAACCCTTGATGAGCAATCATGTACCGACGGTGCGTAAGTTGACAAAAGCTAGTTGAGCCTGTTTTATAAGTACCACGATTTTGTCGGTCACTGACCCACTAGAGCTGCTTCGACTTCCTAGGTAAGTGGAATGTCCAACGCGTTCAACCACTTTGCTCCCTGTTGTTAGACGAAATACCAACGCAAGCCAGTCCTGGAACAATGATTTGCATTTCGCTAGTGAGGAACGCATCCTACACATTTTCAAATTGCCAATATGTCCAGATTTTTTTATCTTCTCAGTATCACCTAACAGAACTGTCATCTGCGTACTTCAAGTCTACTGAGATGTCGTATGACACGCTTAATCTATTAGAATCACATGTTGATCCCACCAAACGCGAGCAATGCTACGAAGAGACCTGTGATCGAAAACATGTAACTGCTGCATGTCTTTTATCTTCAAAGGCCATGCTTTGGAGCCGTGCAACAGGATATGACGAACTACAGTGAAGCGTACTCGTCCTTTAATAGATAGTCGAGTATCTCGCCAATTGATCCTAAACGGACCTCTGGTATCCGAGCTAAGATAGGGTTAGCAACCAACCTGTTCGGGCTGACGCAACTTCTCAAGTAAGCTAAGTGGTCAACGCTCCACCACAACTCCCTATTATTCAGAACACATGTACAGCTTTCAAACCATGAGATACTACACACCAAACGAATTAGGTCATCTTTCTGGCGCTGCAGCATGCGAAACTTTACAGAACTAGCGAATGACTACATGAGGAATAGCTCCTTTGAATTTAAAAGAAAGTGCTTAAAAACCCAACTGAGATGCTCACTGGGTTGAAAGCAGATTGTCTTAAGTCACTAGGCGAGTCGCTTGGGAACGGCGAAACTTTAGCTCCACACATAATCTTAGTGTAAATGAACCCATGGCCTAACAGACTTCAAGAGTTAATAATTAGATGTCAAAAAAGCCAGTTGGGAAAAATCGTCAGATTGGTCCTTACATCATGCGAGAAACTAGTCCAGTCACCAATAATGAACTGAGAAAAACTCAACCATAAGAATAAACCAAAAGTTATCACGTCCAAATACACTGGAATTTTAACACGGGTGCAGGCAGATTTGGGTGAAATGGATAAACTCACCTGGAGAGACATAACAACATAACTATACCGATCGTTCCTTCCACATCCGAGAAATTTGCACACATGTTCTTTGCCTTGAAGCTTTCGTAAGACCGCAACCTCCATCTTAAGTACTTGCTTCGGTTGCCGCGCTGACTCCAATTTCAGTGCAACCTTCTCCTGAGAATTGACCTCCTGAGCCTCGTATATTTCCCCGAAACCTCCACCGCCAATCTTTTTGACAACACGCCATCTGTCTTTGATTACGTGGCCGGGTGAAACTAAATCAGTGTCCGACGTAGCTGACGTCATCCCACATCGTTACTAGTTGAATGTAGGAAAGGTGACTGAACAGTCCTCACTTTCAGATTTTCAGACAAACTACGGGTTTCAAATATTGCTACACCGTAAATATGTAATTATAACTGCCAATGGTACTATCAACTAGGAGACGTCCTTAGGAACGTTCATAAGAAGCCAACGACCATTCAGTTGTCAAAGGTTCAAGTGGTCGCGCTGTCAAAATGTATTCTGATATCACTTAGTGAAACAAGGCAGTGTACTTTGATGCGAAATGAAGTGCACAACGACAGCCAGAAATTATTCAGATGTTTATAATTTCTTCACCACGTTGCAAATATAAGTACTGGAAAAAAATCGCAATTCATAACTCATTATCAGCATAAATGGTTTAGATGGCAGTTGACGAAGTAGAGTAAGTTATCGCTTAACTGGCTTCGGCTTTAGTGGATCACTGGTTCCCGTGTCTGTTAGGTAGATTTGGGGTGCGTCAGCTCTTCCAGTAAGAGTCTAGGTCTACTTTCTCATTAAATGCGTTCGCTGAAGAAGATGGTACCACTTGTTGAAGTGAGACACTACGGTAGCTGACCCTTAATTGGGAAGTGTAGGATCATGCTAAGCCTATTCAGCCATCGTCTGTAAATTTTCTTGTGGTGGCCGCAAGGGCAATCGATGCTTGAGAGTAAGAGAAAAGACTATACATATCAACACCATGATGATTATTCAGGATATGAAATATCATTGTACGTCACGTTCTCTACTGTGACAAGACTATGGGGGAAGGTTCAGTAGCTCACAACTACCCCATAGACTCTGCTGTGTAAACCAGTCATCAACTTAGTGCCGATTGTTTGAGTGAACCCTAGTGTCTTATCAGTTACAAAGTAAGAGCAAGTTGATTGAATTCTCTTTTTAAGCCGTGTTTCACAAGTGCGGGATACTGTGTCATCATGAACTTTGCGCTGATGCTGTTCAGAAAGACGGTGAAAGCTCCACGTTTGGACCACCAGGCCCGAAGAACACAACACAACCAAGATCATCCACTCGAGTCGCAGGTATTCTCCACTATTTCAATAAGGTTTCAGAAACATTGGCTAAAGCATTTGACAGCTGCGTGAAGAAACCTTGGACTAGTCAATCGAGGCCTCATTGCTGAAGGCAGGCATCGTCAAGATGTGACGTGCACCCAATTTCTTGGAGTTCAGGGGTTACTGTCTTCACTACCACATACCGGTGGCAACTTATTTCCAAGAGGCATGACTGCATGCTTTTCAGAGTTAATTTGTTGGCATCAAAGTTTTGGACATTACTGGTCAGAAATTTGGAGTAAGAACCCTTTCACTTCACAAAAGAAGTCAAGAGTAAAGCAGTGGTCTGGCAATAATGACTAGCTGTCAACATTTCACTTAACGGTGTGTCACATAATCAGTAAGCTCACACGGTATGTGAGACGCTGGGCATGACTTAGGCTGAAAATATGCGAATGTTCAACAAATTTGGGTCTAGTGTTGCACGGTGTCGTGGAAAATGTGGCAACTGTTTGTGTCCATGCCGCTGGAGTCGTCTAAATAAATTAACACCGGGTGATGATTGAGGGTGAGGCGAAAATCTAGACCGCGGCCGGATTCGAACCAGCGACCGCCGGGTTATTGGTCCTGTGCTCTACCAACTGAGCTGCGAGGTCAGACTGACCAGATTTTTATTTCACTACAGTCACCAAGGGTTTCACTCAACTACCATATGAATTCGTGACACGTTACTACCGCTAGATCGTATTCATGCTGGCTGCTTAGTCAGGACTTCTCATTCTAGTCCAAATCTAACTAAATCAGAGAGGGGGGAGAATAACATTGATAACCATTTGACTATCTGAGATAGCCGCAGTTTGGCAGACCAGTATTGACACGGATGACGATGAAATGAAAATCTGGATGAAAACCTGGCCGCGGTCTAGCGAGTAGCTTCCATGCAGATTTTTCACCTTTAGAATTTAGTTTCAATTATGATCGATCCAGCACTTAAATATGAGGCGTTTTCTACAACGGGAGCGAAATATAAAGCAGCTGGCAAAGAGGAAAGAATTCTAGCAAGGAGTCTGTTCTGTGCGTGTATGTTTATCTTCGGTTAACTTTCTCTGATGTGACATAAGTTGTACCCGAGTTATTTGTCAAACATTCAAGAACGCAAATTTCACATTTTTATAGGTAGTTTTATTATGATGGGTGTAGAGGAACGTCTTCCGCTCAGTTTAGAGTAGGAAGTTTTGAGATAGATTCCCCAGTGTTAAGAAGGAAGGATCAGCATGGGTGTAGTGGGAGTTTTAATAGGACGCTAAGACGGCCTAGTTTATATGGCATCACGAAGGATAGTGATGGCCCACGCCGCTGTCTAGGGGAGTTATCCAATGAAAAGGATTTATTTGGTAACCGGCCAACTTTGGGGACCGATTTTTTATCATTAATTGCCCCATGGGTTCGTGGCGGAACAAACGGCTTTAGTAACACGTCTCCATGTCACACTCTCCTCTGCGGTCTTTTCAGCCCAGCTCCACGGCTACCCACAAACTTTCATTTCTTCCTCACATGATCCCCTCCACGTCACCCTCACCTCAGAGGCCCAACTCGTCGTTTCCCGTTCGGATTCCACCCAAGGGCCTGGCCTGGTGCGTGATGTTCCCAGTCGGCCTTCTCAGTGTATACCCAATCCAATCCATCTCCACTTTCTTCTATTGCACATTTTCTGGGCGATGGGCAGTTGGTTGGACTGTTCCCAGAGGTCCCTTTTGCTTATTTTTTCTGGCCACCTGATCTTCAGTATCGGGTGAGTGTAGGCGGCAGTTGTTGATGAATGTCTGTAGTTTGTTAAAAATCCCTTTCGCAATGCGCCAAGCTTCTGATATGACGTTGGTATTGAAAATCCGGATCTTAACCACGCTTTATGCCGAGCGCAGTAGATCACCGCACTGGTTTCATGTTAATGAAAGCCCGTCTTGCTGTCTTTCCGATCCTGGTTTTGACATCCCCTTCTGTGCCGCCACCCGCAGTTGAAACGATGATGCCTAGGTGGCAGGTGAAAGAGACGATTTCATTTAGGTTCCTACCTTTGATGGTCATTGATGCTTGCTGTTGTTGGTTGGGTAAGACAAATTTTGATAAGGGAGCCGTTAGAGAAAAGCATAACAGGGTGCCCCCCATTTAAGATATATAGAGCAAGGAAGAGGCGACAGTCTTCGCTAAGAACAGCTTTCAGTCATTTAGAATTACGTTCATATCAACGGGGAAGGGGGTCACATTCTCAAGGGTAGGGCCCACGTATGAGTTTTGTCTCTTCCTGATCACGTGAAAAAAGGGGAAGCAAAGGGAGAACTGAAATCCGGATAAGCCGAAGAAGAAAAGATCTTGAAGTTGTGGGTTTTCGTGTGGTGACGCTTCGAAAACAAATGGCACCAAAGCCTCTTGGGATGGGACAAAAGTTCGTCTAGGTGGTCAAATCGCCGTGAATACGAATACATGCAGTCCCCCAAACAAATGAACCAAGCTGAGTCATATGATAAACACAAATGGCGTCTGGGTCATACCTATCTCAGAATCATGCGAAATGCCGGGTATTCGTCCAAAATGTGAGGCGTAATATGTTGATCTCGTAGTATATCGAAGCACCGAATGTGTGGTCGAATGCTTCCTGTCGTTGTGATACTTGTGATTCCCTGTTACCATACAGAGCCGAATTGCTCCGCCTCTGTTGGCGGATGGCCTCAATGCTGCCATGTTTTCATGAGGTTATATCGATCTTGGTGACCAACAGAGGGATCATCCTGTTTAGACCCATCAGCTGGACGTACCTCCACCTGAGTGAGTGATGCTGTTCCCGTTGAGGTTTAAACCTAAAAGAAGCTGAAACTCCGAGCAGATAGCTGCAGATTCAGCCAGTGTACAACCAGCTGGCTGCAACAGTCTAGCTGCAGAGGCATCACATAACTCATCTGAACGCAGATTGATGGGTGCGCTGATTTCTGCAGCCGTTATATAGCACAGTAGGGTATAAGCTGATTCGATCATCGGCATGCTCCATCAGCTCTAGACTCGCTGCCCTCTCACACAGATTATATGAGCTTCATCCAATACCTTGCACTCGCTGCTGAAATTGATCCCGCAAGGACCAATTCCCAACTCTCTTCTCGAGAATCCGTACAGAGTGAGACGCGTAAAGCATAGTCATGGCTCCCCTGCGATCTCTCCAGTACAAAAATGAGTAACCGAACATTACGAAATACCTCATGGTTGTATGTGTCGATGACGTAGGGAGCTGGCGTGAAGGAAGGGAGGACGAAAATATGCGTTTGCTTCAGACAGAACTAGACAGTTTGTTGACGTGATCAGAGAAGTGGCCGATACCCATGAACGCACGTGTGTGGCCATGCACATGGGGCATTCAGGTGACAAAACCTATGATATCGGCAAAACCCCCTACTCCCAGCACTGGACAGAGATGACCAGAGAATCTTGGCAAGTCATAGTTTGGAGAACATAGAGCACAGAAAACTGGTTGTAGTCTGGAGTTTTAAGACACTAAAGATGAAACAGGTTTACGAAAATTGGTAGTAATCTGTCCACATATCATAGAAAACTGAGTGCAGGCGGAAAACCATCGTCTGAGAGGTGAGCCACAGCTGTTTGGAAAAAGCTGAGAGGAAAGGCACCCCTGCGATCCTTGTGAAGGACACCCTGGTCTACGAAGAATTGATCAAGAAAATGAACCTTTCGTCGTGTTTTGGGGTTTGTCCTGGTGTGAACTTGACAGACGCAAAGACCAATCACTAATTATTCGGACTTGTTATATACCCACGAATACGAGGCCAAGGAAGAACGCGATAGCGTAGTCGGATGGAATAGTATATTTGGATGGTTGTGCCAAAATACCGATGCGTTCCAACTAACTGGCTAGAGAGTCGAATACGAGCAGTGCAACGTAACACGACAGCGTGCCGAACGGCGAGGATGCTTGACCGGGTGCCTTCAGCTTAGCGAGTCCAGTTAAACTATCAAGGTCAGCATCAATGTCGAAAGTCGTCAAACCCCAGGCTATTGATTTTGGGGAAGTGTGTGACGCCGCAGATCACTCCCCCCTAGTGGGTTCGTGAGGACCCTAAGACGATACCAGCCGGAAGTAAAAACCCAGTGGTTTCTCCACTGGTAAAACTCTCCCCATGGGCTCACTGCGTGAAGTGTCCCCTGGTTGTCTGAACTTATTCTAGGGCGTCGTGGCAATTAAATATTAAAATGCAATAAATCGAATCGGACGTCGATCGCGGTCATCAGTTCCTTTTGACGTTCCGCCCGGTGCTCGTTGCATCTGGGATATAAGTAAAACTCTTTAGTACTACGAAAACGTTTCGTAAAAATGGGAATTATTTATATATAAACATGCGAAAAACAAAAATTTATGCTTCTTTTCAACTTTAAAAAAATTTCATGATATGGTAATTTGGTAATTTGGGCTAGAAAAGAGCCTAAAGGGCTTTTCGTGTATCTTGTGACTTTACACTTTTGACAAGCTAAGCACGACTGAGCCCACTCCTTAACGTCTTTGTTCATCCCAGGCCAGCAGAAACGTTGTGCGATAAGCCTAATGGTGGCTCGTACACCTGGATGAGAGAGTTTGTGCAACGTATTGAAGACGTTGCGTCGACAACTCTTCGGAACTATTGGGCGTGGTTGACTAGCAGAGACATCGCACAAAATTGTATCCTTGTCTGATCCAACCGGACAAAGTCGCAGCTTGAGAGTTGTGGACGACAACTCATGATGCAGCTCAAGGTCTTCCTTTTGACGCCGAGCTAGTTCAACGAGATCAACGCCCTCGATATGGTTTATCGAAGCTATTCGAGATAGTGCGTCGGCTGCGGAGTTGTTTGCTCCAGAAATGTGGCGGATGTCTGACGTGAACTGGGAAATGTAATCCAGCTGTCGCGACTCACGAGGGGAGTATTTGTCAGACGCCGAGCTGAGGGAAAACGTTAACGGTTTGTGGTCTGTGAAAATAATGAAATCACGACCTTCCACAGAATGTCGAAAATGGCGTACAGAACAGTACATGGCTAGGAGTTCCCTACCAAATGTACTGTATCTTGTTTCCGCGTCTTGCAGCCGCCTCGAGAAAAAGGCTAACGGTTGCCACTGGTTGTCAGTCAACTGTTGCAAAACTGCTCCAATTGCTGAATCAGATGCATCAACAGCAATACTCAAAGGAGCATTGGGGTCATGATGCATAAGCATGGTTGCGTTCGAAATGGCTTCCTTGACTTTAGGGAAAGCAAGTCTAGCCGCGTTGTCCAGAGACACGAACTTCGCAGTTCCTCGAAGTAGATCTGTTAGTGGTCTCATGACAGAGGCACAGTTAGGGATAAACCTTCGGTAATAACTTACCAGGCCATTGAAAGTGCGGAGATGTTTCACAGTGGTCGGCTCTGGATAGTTTGTGATAGCCGCCACTTTATCTCTCAATGGGCGTATACCTTTGTTGTCAATGGTATGCCCAAGGAAGCTGAGTGATTCAACTCCTATTTCACACTTCTGTAAGTTCACTGTGATGCCATGTTTTTTAAGTCTTTCGAATGCGAGGTCCAAATGTTTGAGGTGAGTTTCCTTATCTGGACTCGCAATTAGACAGTCATCGATGTAGACATGAACAAAATTCAAACCACGGAAGACATCATCCATAAAGCGTTGGAATGTTTGTGCTGCATTCCGAAGACCAAACGGCATGCGCAGGAATTCAAACAGGCCAAAAGGAGTAATAATGGCTGTTTTCGCGATATCTTCTGCTGCCATAGGTATCTGGTTGTACGTTTTGAGAAAATGTTCATTCCGCATAAGGTTGCAGTCAAATCGTAAACGTGAGGTATCGGGTAGCAGTCCGGAGTTGTTTTGGCGTTAAGCCTTCGGTAATCACCGGTTGGACGCCAGTCGTTGCTATCCTTTTTGGGAACCATGTGCAATGGCGATGCCCAAGGACTGTTTGACGGTCTGATAATGCCCAGTTCGAGCACGTGGTCGAATTCGCTTTTCGCCGTTTGAGCTTATCGGGGGCTAAACGGCGCGCTTTGGATGCCACAGGTGGACCTGTGGTTGTGACGTGATGCATAACATTGCTGGTTATGCACGGAAGAGTGTGCTTCGGTTGCTGCAACTCTGGATATTTCTCCAAAACTGCTTGGTAGGACGCGTCGCCTGATTGTTTGGTTCTAACGATGGCTAAACTCGGACCTACATAGGTGGTGCCGCCAATAGATAACTTTGTGTTGTTATCTATCAGTCGTCGACGGCGAGCATCTACGAGTAGATCGTAATGGTTTAGCAAGTCTATGCCAATGATGGGCATAGAAGCGTCAGCAAGGAGGAAGATCCAGTGGATAGGTTTACGTAAACCTAAGTTGAGGTAGGCATACTGTCTCCCGAATGTCGCGATTGCCTTGCCGTTGGCTGCTTGAAGATTGAAGGATGGGTCGTGATGACGCTCCTTTGTCGTTGCGGGAAGAACGCTAACTTCTGCGCCGGTGTCGACGAGGTAGCGAACTTTCGTTTTAATGTCGGTGACGTAGAGCAAACGGCTGTTTCCGCCGGCTACGGTTGCCGTGAGCAGGTGCCGGCGTGACCGTTTCCCGAGTTTATGTCCTTGTTAAAACTGCATGGTTTCCGACATTTTCTGGCTTCGCCTCCGTAAGTATTATGCAACCAGCGCCATTTCGGGTTTTCCACCCTGTTAGATTTAGTTTTGGGGCTACCACGCGACTTGCTGCGATGCGCCAAGGTTCGTTTCTGTGAAGTGCTACGTAACCTAGGACTTCGAAATTGTAACAACCGGTAGATTATGTAGGGTTTCAAGAAGTGAATTCTGACCTAATCTATGTTGTCTTTACCTTTCCAGTAGGTCGGGACAACTCAGAGGACATAGGAAGAGAATACAAAGGCGAAGGGTGAACGTAGTCTTCGAAGAGAGATGAGTAATCACGTCCTGAAACCTACTACACAGAGTTGCACAGCTTTGCCACCTCTGAATCCTGGCTCTCTGGTTTGTCGCAGACAGAATATACGTTGGAGACGGGTCTGCCTGAAATCTCCAGTATTTTATCCGCTGAGGCTGCCAGGTCATCGGGTGGGACTGACTGCAGTGTCACCAACACGGTTTTCACCGTTTGTGGTAGTTTCGAGAGAAATAGTCCTCGGAAAAGGTCATCGTCGGATGTTCGTGCACCCATAACTTCTCGCATTCGTGCGAGGACTTCTGTAGCTGGGTGGCTGCCTAGCTCGATGTTACGAAACAATTCGTCTAGGCGCTGGCGATCTGTCAGATCGCCTTTCTTCAAGAGTGCGGCCTTGAGAAGTGCATAAGGATCACTTACTTCAGGATTGAACAAGTGTGCTGTAACATACCTGTTTAATTCTCGCGACAGTGACCGTATGGCAGCAAGAAATCGAGAATGAGGATCTGAGACACCCTGTTCTCGAAAATCTGCCTAGGCATACAGAAACCATGCTTCCGCATTGTCTGGCCAATATGGCACGAGTTGGATCGTGTTCGTAGTCGGCTTTATACGAATGAGCTTGGGAGTGTGGTCGGACATGAGAAAGTGTAGTAAATGGATATATAAATGTTATCGAAATGAAAACAATAAACAAATATAAAATGGAACAGGCTCACCAATTCAATATTTGTTATTGGTCGGGATATGTGATCACGTCGGGCTCACCAATTTAGGATTTGTCCTGGTGTGAACTTGACAGACGCAAAGACCAATCACTAATTATTCGGACTTGTTATATACCCACGAATACGAGGCCAAGGAAGAACGCGATAGCGTAGTCGGATGGAATAGTATATTTGGATGGTTGTGCCAAAATACCGATGCGTTCCAACTAACTGGCTAGAGAGTCGAATACGAGCAGTGCAACGTAACACGACAGCGTGCCGAACGGCGAGGATGCTTGACCGGGTGCCTTCAGCTTAGCGAGTCCAGTTAAACTATCAAGGTCAGCATCAATGTCGAAAGTCGTCAAACCCCAGGCTATTGATTTTGGGGAAGTGTGTGACGCTGCAGTTTCGCAGACCGAGGGTAGATTATGTAGGGTTTCAAGAAGTGAATTCTGACCTAATCTATGTTGTCTTTACCTTTCCAGTAGGTCGGGACAACTCAGAGGACATAGGAAGAGAATACAAAGGCGAAGGGTGAACGTAGTCTTCGAAGAGAGATGAGTAATCACGTCCTGAAACCTACTTCCAGAAGAAGTTGGGTGAATATCACTGGGTGACAAGCTCAAGAAGGGACTGTGAAAGGACAGAAATCTACTACGAAAGGATTGATATGGGTTGGCAGTCTGATGTCTCCAAAATACAAATCTCAATTGGAATCTGTTACAGGAACTTATGGCTGCTGCTCCATCTCTGAACGCTTCTAAGTAGAAACTAGGTTCAAACAAATTTTCAGCTCGTTCTACTGTCTTCAAGCTTGTAAACCAAAGCTGAGGATTAGTTGTACATTGACCAAGGCCAGTGCCAACGTAATACTTGGCGGCACTACAAGGTGCTTTTACGGACGCATTTTACGGTGAGCAGCGTTACATGCATTGTTTTCCAAATCCCAGGTTTTCTTCCTAAATTGTCGAAATTTTAAGTTTGTTTCCCAACATTGATTGTGCGCCATGAGAGGATTCTTGTCGTTAGGAAACCTTATGTAGTGACATTATTGGATGTCCCAGTCAACATTTTCGTCTGGCCAAATGCAGGGCCAGGCGTAGAGTTTTGGAACATTTCCTCTACATTTGGCCCTTTGGTTTTGGCATTGGATTTGACCCTAAGTTTTTACAAGTGGCTCGACGTCTGACCGCATGTTCTGATTGTTGACACTTCTTTTGACCTCATGTGGGTTACATGTGGCCCCACATCAGATTCATGACCCAACGTTGTTTAATTTCTGATTTTATCCATAAAATAATGGCTTATGTGGAAGCTACGACCGTTTAACTTTACTGCCGTCGTAGAAGTAACGGGCCTGGTTCACATTCACTACTTAGGCTTGCACATGCCTTAGTTTAGTCTAGGGTTTTTGTAATTTCACTGAACTCACTCATGTAGGAGTTTCATTTTAGCGTTTTTATTTCAAACCAATTATTTTGGCAATACACACTGTTGCTTTCTTTGCTAGAAATTTTCTTTGTTGTCATCACTGGTAGTTTAAAGTTACTATTTCAGAATCAAAAATGCATTATTTTCTCATTCTTGTGTGAGAGACTTCAGTCCTGTGTATCACATCACTCACGTTTCCGGAATTGAATGCATAACAAAAACTTAGAAGCAGCGTCAATACATACGGATTTTATATACTAAAGTACACGACCAGGCTGGCTACTTTTATACTCACACTCTAATAATGCAGGCAGTTAACGAACTAATCGCAATTTTACTTCCATGCACACTCGATGGATAAAGTGACCATTGTGTTTCATAGTCGGTTGGTTAATTCGCCTATCAAATAATAACTCGTTTTAAGAGCCCGAAAAATTTTAATTTTTCTTTCTTTTTTCTGTTAATTGTTAATAAACAGATTTTTTGCGACAATTTTTTAACATTAGTTTGGAGATTCTGTTTAACCTGTATTTATCTGAATCACGACATATTTTTACTGAATTATCAATAGTGTGCTTAACATGTCAGTATCTATGTATAATTGTAGATGCATAGCAAGCAAAAATATATCTTTAAAGCAACAAACTTCATAAAAATGCAATGTGTGGCCGTCGGAAACTGAAAACCTACTGACCCAGTTGAGACTATCTGCCATGAACCCAAAAAACCTATGAACAGAGTTAAATTGGACGTGTGTAGTTCAACTTGCTGAATGTTGACCAACTGATTCTAATTCTCGGAAAATTCTGCAGTTGAATTTAGTCCGATTTTTAGCTGCTACCTTAATGTGGTGGTTAGGCTTGCATGTCATGATGATCCAACAAACTATACTGGCATAAGAGATTGTTCCTTACCATGCCAGAAAGGTCTGCTGGTAGTCTTAAGACAAAAGGTAGTTATTATTGTGTAAATTGCTACTCCATGATATCTATCCGAGGATGAGGCCTTACTGATGGGGTTGTCACAGCAGTAATATTTTTCTCAAGAGCGACCAGCAGTCTTTACCAATTTTGCCCTCCTTACGGGATTAGATGGGGCTGGAAGGCCGACCCCATCAATAGGGCACTTCTAGATGTGCGGTATTTCGGTGCAGACGGTGGCACAATCATATCTTAATCTAGCACTCTTATAAATGCTGTGTGATGAGCCTCAAGCGGATGTTCTTTCGGTTTTAGTCACGCACCAGTATTATGAATCCGTTTTCTCTTAGCTATCTTTAAGAAATAACTTCCGCCATATGAGAAGCTGGGAAATACCAATAGCCTATGCGCTTCAGTCAGCATGCAAACTCAGCCATAATCTACCTTCCATATCTTTGCCACCTACCTTACCATCACTTCCTGATACTAACAAAGGTCCGATTAAATCTAATCAGACTTCTCACTCTTCCATCATCGCAATTGATTCAATCCAGAAAAAATACTGTTTCTAGTTTTCTGAAACCAAATCATTTGACACAATTCTAGAATCTCGGGCCATGTATGTATGCTGCATTTTTGAGATGCACACACTGGACCGACGTGTCTCTGCTCACTTAACCTCACCTGGACAATATGTTAAATGTGCGAAATTCACTTTACTAGTATCTGGAGATTTTTTAGGTAGTTCCTGTGAGTTCGCAACAGTAGGTATTAGATTAAGCTAGAGAACATGAAGCGCCTTACTGGATTGGATACCAGTGTATAGGGGACTATGCACTGTCCAACTGATTGAATGTATAGGAAATGAAGATGTTGACACTCGTGGATGCTTTTTCGTAGGCTTCGTCAATGTGTATGGCCGATAGCTGCTACCTTGACGTGATGGTTGGGGTTGCATATCACAATGACCCAACGAGCTATGCTGGTGAAACGCGTGTTCCATAGAGGTCCTATCCTACTAGAAAGGTCTGTTGAATAGTGGTAAGACGAAAATCAGTTACTTTTGTAATGTAAATCACTACGCTGTGATGGGGGGAGGGGGAAGTCGCACTGCTGCTAGGTGGATGGGGTGTGACAGCTGTAAGGTGTTTCTCCTGGATGGCCAGTTGCGCCCGGCCGATACTGCGTTACCTATGGAAAGGGGGGAGGGTTCATAAAAATCGGCCCCAAAAATAGCACACTTCTGCCTACCCTACGGTTTTCCGATGCCAGCGGTGTGGGTTCTCTCTGTTCGGTGTTGGAAAAACCAAACCTCCAAACAACAACCCGCAAAAGGTCGTGTATGACAGGGCTCAGGCAGATATTCCATGCATTCTGAAGTCATATAAATCTTTTTCTATTTCATTTACCTTAAGAAGGAATAGCCTTCCAGACTGAGGGGATTCAGGGAGTGTCAACCACCTCCACACTTTCACCAGTACACAAGATCCAATCAAACATAACATATCCTTCTCAACTCTATCTCCCTCTTTGCTTCACCTCCTGATACTACTATTAACCCTCTCACACCTTCCTCAACCTCTCACTCTTCAACCACTGTCAACGATGAAAGCCATCGAAACCTCATTTCTACTCTCCTAAAAGCCTGCCATCGATTTCATGTAGGAGCTTTCAATGTCCGGACATCAAGCATCATTCACCAAAACTCTGGGATCTCTAGCCATGGATATATCTTGTGTCTCTGAGACACGTATATAGGACCCCAGTGTGGTTATTGAATTGACCTCACTTGGCCATAGTGAATCTTCAAAATTCACCTCATGAGTATCCGGAGACCCAGTGACTGACTATCGCTGTCTCGCTGATGTAGGCATATCACTGAGTTGTAGATAAGAAAGCGCGCTTCTCGACTGGACACCTGTCAACAGGCGTCTATTTAGTGTTCAACTGAATGGTTGTGTAAGAACTAGGAAGGGTCGTGAGACTAGGTGATGCTCATTTGTATTCTCCGCCTACACACCCACCGCCTGCAGTTCGGACAATGCAAAGAATGAATTCTATGAGTAGCTGTCAACTTTGCTACAGAAAGCAAAACTTCCAGATGTAATCATAATAGCAGGCGACTTTAATGCTTAGCTAAGGAAACTGAACCAATCAGAAAGGCATTTTGGGGGTATTTATGGAATCCCATGCCAACAAACTGATAACAGTAATCAATTGTAGTTTTGTTCTCACAATCATTTGTTTCTGGCCAGCACAAACTCTAAGCATGAGGAGAGATACTGTCTCACTTAGCGTCCGCTGACGTTGAGCCAACGATGAACGCAGACAGATCACATTACTGTAAGCCATCGTTGGAGAGGATCGGTTGAGGATTACCACTCTTTCTGGAGTACCCTTTCGGACTCCGATTACGCGTTAGTACGGGCTTGTGTATGTCTGCTCCTTACTGGTCGCAGAAAACAGGCGTCAATGAAGCCTGTTCGTGGTCGATTAGAAGATGAGAACCTCAAGTCAGAATTTAGGGAAAAGATAGCTAAACATTTATCTGAACGTAAGACCAATGCTCATCCTACGAAAACCTGGTGTAATGTTAACTCTGCTGTAGAAACAGCTTTAACGACATCTGGTAGCTTGCACATGAAGGTTAGTAAACGTCACTGGATTTCCGTGACGTCATCCTAACTGATTGAAACGAAAAGACTGATTCCAGCTAACTGACCTCAACGAGGAGTGAACGCAACGTAAACGTAAATTGACTAAAAGTTTTCACATCGATCACAGGCTGTAGTGGGTGATAAAAGCGGCAGGAGAGATGGAGAAAGCATCACTATCGGATAACGCTCGGGAACCGTTTAGGCTTATTAAGGTTACCAGCACCAGGAAGACGAATTCCAGTAAAACCATCACCGAAAAGGATGGAGCGCTGATAACCCAGGACAGGTGGCTAGAACCTTGGGCAGGACATTTTGAAGGACAGTTAAACTGGTCCATGGCAACGCTTCAGTTGCCTAGGACCCAACCTGAACCTGAATGGGACGCAGATGTTGATCCCCGTACCCCCCTCGAATTTGAGAAGGCTGTTTCAAACCCATGAGGATTCAAGCAGTGGGATCTGACAGTTTGCCACCCGAAGTTTTTGAGGATAGAGTTAGGAAATTACTGAGTAGAGTAATAGAGATACTAGATAGTATCTGAGAATCGGACGTGGTCCTGCGAGACTTGTCTTGATCATCAATCATTCTACTTCAAGAAAGGAGAGATTTCTTCATGTAACCGCATCAGGGGAATCAGTTCGACTAACATGATACGTAAGGTCTAAGGTCCATATTTATCTGACATCTGCTTGGAATCTTGAGAATAAAAAAATTAAAAGAACCAGATAGTTTTTAGGCCTGGATGAGGGTGCAACAATCATCGACTGAGATGGCTTGAAAATGTGTTGTACACGCCGAGACTCCCTGGCCTTCCTCAACGTGCGATGCTAGGGAGAGTTGTATTTGGTTGGAGGAAGGCTCAGGGTGGCCAGTCTAAGAGGTGAGATCAGTCTATGGAGTCTCTGACTCTTGGTTCTGAGCTGTGTATGGAGATGTAGGCTGCCCGACTGGGGTCCCCGAGACGATAGGAAACAATGGTTAAGTACTAATGATGGATAGTGGCTAGCAGTGGCATGCAGGATGCGCGTTTCCTTACATATTAACTGCCAAACGTAAATTATGTGACTTTGAGTTGTGTTCAATAGTGTATTCATTCCTTTATAGTCTAAGTAGACTCTAATTTGTAAGCTTTTGTTTGTTTGTCTTCTTTCACTTCCCTTCTTCCTATTGTCTTGAGGTTGTGGTAGCTGAAGCTATTTAACACATATCAGGTTCCTCGTTTAGAAAACTAGTTGACTAACCTATTACTTTGTTTATATTATCAGTTTAAAAAGGAGTTAAAGTTCTACCTAAATTTCTTTCAGAACAAGAATAAATTTCATATTAACATTCATGTTAGTAGCCAAGTAGCGTAGCGCAGACCAACCTATACTTGGTCGTCTAATTAATGATGTCATATTTGTCTCGTTTTCTTTTATCTTTGGTTTTGACTTTTACACCCGTCCACGTTATTCTTTTTATTTCTTTGCTTATTATCTTGTTGACTCCCATACCGACGTCCTGATGTTAACTGTATTGAATTCAGTCGGTATATAGCTCTGAGATTTTATCCATCTATATATGTCTACCCATTTACCCTTGCTAATGAGTTAAGTAGTTGCTACTACTCAATGCCCTTCTGTACACTTAAACCCCTAACAGCCGTACCTTTTAAACTAAGCAGGCTTTAAAATAGTTATTTTATATCCCTGTTTGTACATTTATTATCTATGGAGCTGTTGGTCATTGGTCTCGGGAGATGATTTTCTACCAAATGAGTTACATATTCAAACCCCACTTCGCCTACCGAGCTCTAGGCAGTCAGGTAGTGTTATAAACCCTTACTCAATGTGTATAACACTTTTGCTTACTCCAGTAACGTGCACGTAGTTGTTGGGTGGATTTTCAAAGACATTATCTTAATTTTAAGTAATCCCTGATTATATTATTTGTTTGTTCTCTTTTAGACGTTTGTATACAAATAATGAAAGTGAAAGAGTTGGAAAGATTTGCTCATTCTGCTTGGTCACCTCTTTCGCATTGTCATTCTTATTTAGCTACAGTCACTGCAGAAGATAATCGTCAGTCAAATGATTTACACTTGGACGCAAAGTGAGTTTGTTTGTCAGGAGACAGATTTTTGAATTTGGGGGATTGTGGGGATTTAGAGATTTTTCAAGTTGGTATTCATCATGGACTGATGTCAATTGACGGAACATTGGAAACCTGGGAACACTAGACAGTTGTCTCGTCCCAGCGCGGGACTCCTCAGCAGTGTGCACCCATGACCCCGCCCAGCCAGAGGTCGAACCTAGGGACCTTCGACTAACGTGGCCAGCACGTTACCATTAAGCTACTGGGTCAGAATCCAATAGTCCATATTTCCAACTTGAGAAATCTCTAAACCCCCAAAATTCAATGGAACTAGCGCTCATTGGTGACTAGCTTCGAGAGGTGATTCCTGAAGTTCCAATGAGAAGTGATGACCAGTGGGGCAAACCTGGTGGCCGTGAGAACATATAGTCAATGATGAAATTCGGTGATGGTCATGCTATGTCATGAACTGACAGAAGTGGAAAATATGGACCACTGGATTCCAACCGAGTGGATCAATGCTGACGTGCTGTCCACGGGACCTGAAGGTCGCGGATTCGATTCCTGACGGGGTCGTGAGTGAGCACCGCTGAAGAGTCCCATACTAGGACGAAACAGTTGTCCAGTGATCCCAGATTTCCAATGTTCCTTCAACTGGTATCAGTTCATGATGGTAACCAACTTAAAAAGACAGATTTTTATCATACAAGTAGTCGTTGAGCCAATTGGTTTTGTAAAAATTGTCTCTTATAATTCATTTTGTGCAATCAATATGAATGTGCAACCTAGGATTACTGCTTTACAATGCAGTTTACCATACATATCTTGAGCAATATATAAGACAACAAGATGAAGGAAAGAAAAATAGAAACCATGTCACCAAGGTCCTTAGGGAGATGATAATAATTATTTTATTCCAGAGAATTATTTTCAATACAGTATGGAATTCTCTATATGCTATTTCAACAGATTTACTCCTTGTACAATATCTTCTAATTCAATCGCCGTGGCAATCAAACAGATGTTAATAATAACAGTATGATAAGCAATAATACACAACTGGTTATTTTCAGGCTTTCGTTTAGGTTATGAGTACTTTGTAGCACCGTGTGCGTGTGTGCTGGGGAATAGAAAAGCGCTCGTCAGTTTGGTGGTGGAGATTCATTCGGCCAGTAAGAAAATCTGCAGTCCTAGCTAACTATTCCTGTAGTTTTGTAAACTTCAGGATCAAAATTTAACCTGATAGAGTTGAATAAATTGAGCATTGGGTAGATGGGTTCTCCAGTGTCCTCTGTCGTTGCAAATCTATTCATGTCCTACATTGAATCAATCATCTTTTCTAACGCCATCAAACCACGTATTTGGCTGTGATACGTAGTTGATACATTTGTAGACTGTTTAGTTAGAAGGAATGGAAACGGAAATCGATTTAAAATAAACCAAGACATTCTAGTTGATATCTTGATTTCAACGCAACACATCCACTCAGTGCTAAACTTTCACTTGCTCAAAGTTTATTCACTAGAGCCACAAAACTCATCACGAATTAAGATGTATTATAATTCAATAACTACCCTAAGAATGTCATTCGAAAGATTCAGAAACATAATCAGAGAGACCCAAGAGAAAATTCAAATGATAATTCTTGAATTAGCACAGTAGTTTTACCATTCTGTCAAGATACAACTAAAGAGCTACAAAGAATCTTGAGAAAGCGCTAAATTAGAGCCGTTTACAGGATAACCAACACTCTCAGGAATACCCTAGTCCACTTAAAAGATAAAACTTCCTTTTACCTCTACACAAAATTGTGTCTACAAATTAGATGGTGTCGACTGTGATGCCTATTCTATTGGAGAATCATCCCGGAAGATCCTCATTAGGGTTAAGGAACATGCGAGTTACAAAAAACGACCACCAAATAATCCTGTAGAAATAGAAAATTTACTAATCTAGTCGGCGATTGCCTTGTCACACAATGTTGGCCAAAGTAGGTTCAGGCTGGAAAAAAGCCTGAGGTGGCTAGACCAAAACATGGCACCAATGTATGAAATCTCTGACTGTTGGTTTGAGCGATGTGTGGCGATGCAGACTAGGTGGTTGGGGTCTGTGGGACAAGAGGAATCAGTGGTTGGAGACTCTATGTGATGGCATGGCTGAGAACCGATGTCAGTGGAGCAGATGTATACACACACTGTCCTCATCTTAACGATGCTATACCGAATCTCACCATTTTCTTATTCTCCATTTCTTTTTTCTCATACTTTTATTTCTTTTGACTGAATTCTCTTATCTTCATCTTTCACCTCACTACCTTTCTACTTGATGTACTGATATAAGGTGTGGCAACTCCGAGGGTTACGCAGTAATGCCTGGTCCCAGGTTGATCTGGATGCATGGATTCAAAAAGGATTTCCGAACTACAAAGAAAGAAGAATAGCAGAGGAATTTCACATGTTGAATTCTGATGTACTCAGTCACCAGAAAGGAAGAACTAACTATCGAACCAACCTAGACAGTATTTCCAAAGGCAACACAAGACACAGAAATAAACCGAATTTGTCATCCATAGAATTGCTCTTACACTTTCGCATCTAGTCATATGTGCACACACATTCACAACTTCACCTTGAACTCCAGACTAATTAATGGATAACAAAGACAAATTTTGAACGCTTCCTAATCAGCATAAGAATGCTATTTATACTATATGATGATTAAAGATGGAATGAAAATTTGGACCGCGGCCGGATTCGAATCAACGACCACCGAGTTTTCGGTCCGATGCTTTCTCTACTAACTGAGCTAGCTACGAGGTCCGACTGCTGACCGGATTATTATTTCACTTCAATCATCATGGATTTTGCCTGACTACCATTTGAATCCGTGACGCGTTACTACCGCTTGGTAGTAATCACACTGGCTGCCTAGTCAGGACTTCTCATCCCAATCTCACTGAATTAGAGGGGATGGGGAGCATCATATTGATTATCATTTGACTATCTAAGATAACAACCGTGGTTTGGTAGACTAGTACTTATACTGAGTAAAGGTAAAATGAAAATTTGAATTGGGATAAGAAGTCCTGACTAGCCAACCAGTGTGAATACGACTGAGCGATAGTAATTCGTCCCGAATTCACATGGTAGTTGGTCAAAAAACGCTTAGTGATTGAAGTGAAATAAAAATCTGGTCAGCAGTCGGACCTCATAGTTGAAAGAGCACCGGGCTGGAAATCCGGTGGTCTCTGTTTGGAATCCGGCCGTGGTTCAACTTTTCATTTCACCTTCAATCATCACCCCAGTATAAATACTAGTCTGCTAAACTACGTCTATCTCAGGTAGTCAAATGGTAATGATATTTATGTTCATATTATTATCATGTATAGACAATGTGATCTGATTCGTTACCATTTACTATTTAAACAATCGGTTTTATCCTCTGAAGAGGCGATTTCCACGAAGTCACAAAATGTCAGAAATTTATTTTTCTACTTCATTGAGATTTAACAAATACTATTTGATTTATATTCCTGTAATAGTTATATGTTATACTGTTGTATGCTCAGGAGCTCACTGTCATCTACTGTGATATTTTATCGTAAAAAAGGAGTAATTTGATGAAATATATATATTCAATGGAAATTTTTTGACGGCTTTAAGGTCAAGCAAGCCATCAATTAAAATTATTGCTAAGAAAAGAGGATAAAAGATAATTGTAATGTGTGTGTATATCTGAGTCACTTAGATCGATCCTGATTCATACCACCAAGGTGGGTTGTTATATGGACTGGAAACTTCAAAACGGCTATACATTTTTGTGCAGCTGACTTCATGGGGAATGATTAATACTGTAGATTAGTAGTTTATGCTGTTATGGCGTAAACACTATGTGAAAAACTCAAATTTGCTCAGTATACTCCAAACAACATGTATGCTATAGTATGGAATATTCTAATAAGTTTGGTTTCCGTACAATATTTTCAAAAGAAATAATTATTACATCTGCATAGTGTTAATAATAACAGGAGTATTAAAGGCATAAGTATGAAATAACCAGCCAGTGTTACATTAGCATCTGTTCTCGATTCGGAAAATGAAACACAAAATTTAGTGTAATTTTGATGGTGGCAGTTCAGTCAGTCAGCGAGCCAACCAGCCAGCCATCACGGAAATTCACAATCCGATACAGGTAGTTATCTTAGAAATAGTAATGTGGTGTGTAGTTGAGTATTTACAAATCCGCTTCCAATCGGAGGGACGTTTTTCCTTTGTTTTGTTCTTAGGTTGAGAAACGAGTGTTTGAAAACTTGTGAGAGTAGATGATGTGTTCTGAAGACATTTGAAAGATTAAAACAAGCTGAAGGGGAAGGATTTGATAGAATTCAATCGGTGGAAAGTTTTTTCGCTCACCGAAGATTTAAGCAGGCCGCCCGCAGTTAGGTAGTTCAAATTAAAACACCCGAAAATGAATAGTAAGAAATAATAATAGCTTAGCTGTAGTATTAATTTTACAAGCTGTAAACTCTTAGATTTATGGAAAAACTTCGATTATCATTTTGCAGTTTTCATTCATACTTATGCGTATTATTTGGTTTAGGATTTTTTTTCTTAGTGATTGTTTAAATGTTTTTCAATTTCAGGATAACTCCTTCAACTTTAGACATTTTTGAATTCAATGTTAAGGAGAAAAGTTTGTCTATGCAGTTAAATGTCAGCTTACAAACTAAACAAAAGTAAGTTGTTTTTCGGAAACATACAAAAAACTATGAATTTCATGCTTCACACAGGCGTATACTTATAATGATTTGTTAAATACATTGTGTATTATTTTCAGAATTGGGATCATTTCTCAAGTCTTCATCTTGTCACCTTTCCTTTTCATATATCCTTTTTTCATTTTGCTAGTTTGACTATATGAGATGGCGGTGTATCATTGATACTGCACTGCGACAAGATTCGAACCACTGACCTAATGGTTGTTATTACTGTAAAGATGGATAGTGGCTAGCAGTGCAATCCAGGATGCGCATTTCGTCCTATTTGGGCTCATCAGATGGATATACCTGCCTCCCAGTGAGTGATGTTGTTCCCACCGGGATTCAGACACGGGAGCGATCACTCCAAATGTTAGAGCATTATCCACTACACCACTGAGCCACGACAGACACTTCTCGTGAGACGGGTATAGTTTTAGTGTTATTGCTAGTACTATACCGTCGTTGATTGGACCGAATTGATCAGTCTCTGTTGGCGTATGGACTCCTGTGCGGATGCCTCGATATACCTGTGTAGTTCTAGTTATAGTAAAGATGGATAGCAGCTAGCAATGGAATCCAGAATGGCGTTTGAAGCGATCGCTCCCGAGTCCGAATCCCGGTGGGAACAACATCACTCACTGGGAGGCAGATACATCCAGCTGACCAGTCCCAAATAAGACGAAATCTGCATCCTGGATTGCACTGCTAGCCACTATTCATCTTTACTATAGCTACAACTACACGGGTATATCAAGGAATCCGCACAGGACCGCATATGCCAATAGAGACCGATCAATTCGGTTCAATCAACCACAGTTATTATTGTTTATTTTAATATCCCTCTATTTCTGCTCACTTCATTTTCTTGTGTTGTTGTCAAGTGGTGGCGTTTTGAACACTGATACACTTCTGTGGAAAGTTATTTACTTGTACTGAGGAAGGATATGTCTAGAGGCTTATTACATGCTTTTCACCGAAGAAAGAACTGTGAGTTCGATGCTTACCACCAAGTTCTGAGAGGATGTTACAAAACACTGACCTAAATCAGAGGGGAAACTATTTAATTTCTAATAACTTTTCACTCACCACTTAATGTAGTAGATCATCTTCTGATTAATTAACAGTTGATGAAGTTTTCTGACTGACAAATTCAGCGTAGAACCTCACACATAGGTGCATCGACTCATGTTGTCACACTTCATAGTAGTACATAAAGAATAAGTGAGTAGAGAAAGACTGATATCCAAGTCGATAAAGTGCTGTGAGAGAATAAATCATCTGAAGATAAAGGTTAGTGGGAATAATGTCAGCGAGTGAGCACATCTTCGCTATTGCGACCGACTTTCAGCAGTGTCACCAAGAGCCCTCAGCTACTGATTCCTTCCGCCTCAGGGAACCCAGCCAGGCATTCTACATCGTCCCACATGGCTCAGACCAATAGTAAGAGACTTCATGGATTAGTGCCACGTCTTGGCGTGCCCACCCTGAACCCTTTTCCAACCTAATATAGCCTGTAGTTGAAGTAGGTGGCGTGAGCTTAGCATGCGCAGTTCTTGTCCAAGCCGTCTCAGACGATTAGGGTTCACAAGCTCCTCAGCCAACTTGACTATCTTGTCTAGTACCCTTCGCCGGACCTCAACATTTCTCACATGGGGATTCCACCAGACTTGAGCAATGCTACGAAGACAGACACATGTGATCAAAACCGTAAAACCGCTTCTTATCGTCTACTTTCAACGGGGTTATCTCACAGTCGTATAACATGACCAAAGGGACTGCATGACAGTGTACTCGTCCTTTGATTGACAGTCGAATGTCTCAGCAGTCGGCACCACAGATGACGCAAGTTGGCAAATACCATACGCTCTTTGTGTATCCGAGCTGAGATTTCGTCAGAAACTAACGCATTCGATCTGATGCAACTCCTAAAGTAAGTGAGACGGTCGACATGTCCCACGACTTCACTCTCTATCACTAAATTGGGAGTGGTTGTAGACCAGTCCTAGAGCATCATCGTACATTTGACAAGTGCCAGTGAAATGCATGTCTCCCTTGTCTACAATTCGCGATGCATTAAACCCCTGAGAGCTTCATTATCTCACCTGGAAAAATTTTTAACTATCTAAGCCAGTAGATTACTGTTTCTGATTATAAGAAACTCATTACTCTGAACCCGTATGGTAGTAGTAGTAGTAGTGTTGACTGTAATGACTCAATAAATATATTCTAATGTTTTACCAGGAAACACTGCAGATTAGAGCTTATTCCACTCCACTTTCTATGAAATATACGTGTTTATTACTACTTCATAATTTCAAAGTGTTTATCATTTCTCATTGATTTACCTTTTCTGTATTGTATTTTGGTTGTTTCCCTTATGTGAATTGTAACGATCGGTGTAAACCGGTACAGATTTTTGCTGTTTCTATCTATCTGCCTAATAAATTGACATGAGATACAAGGCAAAACTGTGGCTATTTGTATTTTCTATAGAGCAGTCGCATTGTCTATATACACTAATAATTAGACAAAAAGCAAATAAAAAAAGTCTACTTATAGGGATATTATTAACGGCATTAGTAATCGATAATGCTTCAAAGAAGCACAGACTATTGATAAGCCAGAATTATTAACTTTTACTGTGTTATGTGTATGTGTGTTTGATTATCGCTTATTAAGGATAACTGTTAGTGGTGTCAATTTGTTTGCTAAGCTAGTTGTAAGTGTTCATCAGTATGTCTGTGTGTGTGTGTGTGTGTGTGTATCTGTAGATAGGCGAACTGTACATTGATTGGTCACCGTAGAGTAACCAAATTTATGTTATCTAGTCTGTAGTGCTAATCAGAGTCTATTCATCATTTTGAAGTACGGTCACTAAGTTAAAAGGCTCGATATCACGATGGATTTTGATAGATGTTAGTTGGTTGGAGGCAAAATGATCGGTGTGCTTCGGTCAGCACTAAGGATTAGACAACATGAAGTTGGTTACCTCCAGCGAATAACCGGTGCACCTAATCCAATCCTAACAAAGGTCAATCATGGTTCAAACAGCTCATAGTATATTGTTAACAAGAAAACCTTTAGTTTTAAGGCGATGAGGAGAAAGTTTTGCTTCTGAGAAAAATGAGTCTTAAATTCTCCCATACTTGTTTAGTAGTAATAATAACAGTGATGATAATAGTAATAATTATGATAGCGTACCTCAGTGTTGTGTTATCTAAGTTATTTACCATCATTGCACTAATTAACTGCAGAGAAAAAAGTAGTTATTTTGACAGATTTGAGTCAAACAGTCATCATTAGTCCATTGTTGTTAGCTGTCGTATGTAATGTCGTCCTAGACAATTCGGATCATTCCCCGTTCAAATAACATGTTGTGAATTTGTCTGATTCCTGCATCAGAGGGAAACCCAGCTTTGATTGTGACAGAGATATGAGGTGTACTTTGGTAGATGTTGAGAAGTGCCAGACAGTTGTTTACATTTTTCTATCAATTAAAACAGGTAGAGTAAATTACTGCCGCATCATACTGAGTAGTTTGGTAAACAGCCTTCAATCAGTAATTGGTAAATATCTACGATGGGATCTAATATTCCTATCAAGATTGACTTGTACGAACTGCTGATAAGACGTGTTGTAATCGTCATACAGCCTTTCAGCTTTGTTGGTCGTATCAGTGAATCAAACTTATAACTCAAAACTACACTTACAGTTCCGGTAGCCAGTTTAGACTGATCTGAATGTTGGAGGGTTGTTTGTTTAGTTCAAGATTCAGCTTATCACTGAAGTGCCTGTTAATTGATGCGTGTGTTTTTGATTCATTTATGCCCTTCGGTAGTTGACATGAAATCAGTATCATTGATGAAAACTCACTAATTGTAGTGAATATTTTCAACGGAAGCCCCATTGATACCACTGTAGGGTCGAGTGTACAGTGCTACAGTTTGCTCTGTTCTCTTGTATGGCTGTGAAACATGGCTATTAAAGGTAGAAGACATGAGAAGGTTTCAGGTGTTTGATCACCTTTCCCTTCGTCGTAGCATAGGCCGTATGTAGTGGTGTCACCACATAAGTAACTCAGAAGTCAGACGTAGAGGTTTAGGTGGGAGAGGTAAGTCAGTTGATGCGTTCGTGAACCTTTATGAACTGAGATGGACGGCTGGGACATGTATTACGCATGCCTAGCCACCGTCTGTCTCGTCACATAATGTTGGCCAAAGTAGGTTCAGGCTGAAAAAAGGCACAAGGTGACCAGACTAAGACATGGGATCAATGCATGAAGTCGTTGACTGTTCGTTTGAGCCATGTAGGTGGTCGGGGGACAAGATAAATCAGGGGCTAAAAACTCAAGGTGATATGGCTCAAAACTGATGTCAATGGCACAGATATATGCACACATTATCTTTATCTTAACCGCTGTGCTTAATCTCATCACGTTCTCTTTCCTCCCCGCCTCTCATTTACTACTTTCTACTTTCAACTGATTTTTCTTTCCTTCTTCATCTTCCATTTTGTTGCCTTGTTACTTGATTCGGTGATATGAGCTGTCGCAACTTGGATCTTTACACGTTAATGTCTAGTCCTATGTTAATCTTAATGATGATGAGTTGGAAAACTGTTTACGTGTAAGAAATATCGATGTGAACCATTCATTTTGTAAATGATTTTTAGAAAATTATTATTGGTACACTTTTATATCGCCACATACATCCAAGGAATTGAGCTTATGCATTATTGAGCTGAGCCATTTGCCTTTCAACCAAGTAAGTAACAAGTTGGACTCATTGCCTCTTGTGTGAAAGTGCACGTTTCGCAGAATAGCATTTCAATTTTAAACCAAGCTGATGTAGAGTGGTAGTTCTAGTTTTCCACTATCTTTGGACCTAAATAATTAACAACTAAATGGTAAAACTGTACAGCATTTTTTTTCTTCTTACACTTTCAGAGGTACATGCTTATTGTGGACAGCACCAGTAAGCAACTTGGAGATTGGTCTCCTTATTTATGGATCAGCATCAGGAAGTTTATATTTATATGACAGTCAAAAGATAATTTCTTTACATCAAAAATCACCTTCACATGATCAGAAAATTATTGATTATGATGATGATAACTGTAATATTGATAACATCTATGATCATAGTGGTCAGACAGTTGAGCATTCTGTCTTCATTAGTGAATTTGACGCATGCAGTTATCTGTATACTTCACGTGAAAATGTTCACAATGGAGTTGTAAGAAGTTTAGATTTTAATCGATTCCAGGTAATTGATTATTTTAGTCCAATTATAATTTCTTTTACTACTTAAAAAGCATATTTGTTAGGACTAATCTGTAAAGTGTTATTTTCAGATATATCCAGCTTGATGAGTCCCGGTTAGGACGAAACCAGTGTCCTGGACTCCAATGCTAGCTAGAAACAATAAGTCAATGTAAGACGCTTACAATTCATGATTTCAGTTTTCTTTTAGAGTAAGATGGTAAAATGAATTATGATGATGGTGGCTAGATGGCTACTTATCTGAGCGGTGGGTATAGATGAAAACTGAACGTCTTGAAATTGTTTTATCCCTTTTTAAGAACCTTGATTCATTATCTTGACTTACAGGTTCCTAATACATCCCACTTACGATAGTTTGTATACCTTAGATGGTTACATTGTATTATTTTGTTGAACATGTTTATCCTACTAACTCGTTGGAGTTTCTCAGTGTTATCGAAATTCCCTATCTCAGACTTTCAGATGGTGATGAAGTTTTACATCTTAATGATGTTAAAGCTTAATTTTCTTGTTGTCTAAGTTTACAGTCTTCTTTTGACTAACTGATGGATTGAGGACTTTCTCTTTATTTACTTAACATCTATCTCGTAAGTGAGGTGAGTAGAGACTGTCTCTCATACACACTATCAACTATGACTTATTCTTCAACTTCTTCGATGCTTACCCAATGCATCTCTTACGTTGCCAGCGATAAATTAATCAATAAAATGTGTTTTAAACCAATCTGTTACAGGTTTTATGTACCAGGCTATGAGCCACAATTGTCATGTGACAACAGGTTGTGTAGGCCAAAATAGATGGAACGGGATTCGAACCATACCCTTGGGGTTGATTGCTTGAAAATCGAATGCTTTAGCCAATGAGCCATATCTCCGGTAACAATTGAAGGCATACTGAATTTTTTTTCAGATTTACCAAATCCTTTACCTACCAATGAAGTTATCTGTCACGTAGAACACCAGTTGGTCTGAGTTTCATTTGCTCGACCAAAGAGCGAGTCTACTGCTGTGTTGTCCTTTCTGTTCTGTTATACAGCTGTGACAGCCGTTGAAAGTAGAGGACGCGAAACGGTTACACAGTTTTGATCATAGGTGTTTTCACAGGATTGTTCACATTTGGTTGAATCACTATGTGAACAATGTTGAGGTCTGCGGAGCTACTACTGTCTCGTCAACGTGCCATACTAGGGGGTAGTTGGATTAGGTTAGAAAAGAGTTCGTCGGGTTGGCCAGACCAAGATATGGTACCAGTCTATGAAGTCCATGACCGTTGGTACGAACCGCGTGGGGATAATGTAGACTGCTTGGTTGGAGCCCCTGCGGCAAAATGGAATCAGTGGTCTAGAATTCTTGGAGAAATGACTGGAAATAGGTCACGTTCGGCGCAAATACGTTCACTCTTTGACGTCTTCTAAAGCTTGAATGTTTGCACTAACCATCATCTTCAGACTGTTTGTTCTGTCACACTACTTTATCTACATTGATATCAGTCTTTTTCGACCCACTTGTTCTTTGTGTACTACTGTGAAGTGTGTATGAGGTTTTACGCAATCCAAATGTTTTTGGTCTTACTACCCAAAGATAATTGCTCGAGAAATATGATTGTTTAAACACTGTTTACTTACGTTTGTTCAAGTTATTCCATCTACTCTTTATGGCTTAACCTATCTTAACGAGTCCAATGTTCTACGGAATTCCATGTATTACACCGTCTTATTATTATTATTATTATTAGTCCCTTGGGTTCCTGATGGAACATAGGGCTTCAGTAGCACGTCTCCAGTGAACTCTGTTCTCTGAGATCTTTTGAACCTGGCTCCACGATAGCCCAGAAGCTCTCATTTCCTCCTCACACGATCTCCTCCATGTCACCCTCAACTCGGACGTCCAACTCGTCGCTTCCCATGGGGATTCCACTCGAGGGACTGGCCTGACACGTGATGTCCCCAGTCGGCTTTCTCAGTGTATGCCCAATCCATCTCCACTTCCTTCTACATATTTGTTGAGCGATAGGTTCTCGGTTGGTTCGTTCCCAGAGTTCCTTGTTGCTTATTCTTTCTGGCCATCTGATCTTCAGTAGCGAGCGTAAGCAGTTGTTGATGAATGTCTCCTTTGCAATCTGGGCTGCCTTGCTGGGTTCAAACATGGTGCGGACATTCCATGTCCCCACGTTTTCTTTCGCTTTCATCGAGGGAGAGAAGACACATTGGCCAATTGGGTTCGGAATACTTTCACTAACCGGCGTCATTTCCCTCTCCGATTCCAGCGAGGAATAATTTTGTTATTATTTTTTATATGTCGTTTGTGCTTTGAAGTTTGTTTAGCGGTTAGGTTTGTTTTACGGGGTAGGGTTGCTAGCCCTATGCCCAACCTTCCCTGTATACCCGGGCTTAGGACCGGCTAGTAACTAGTGAACTAGTTAAGCAGACGAGGTTACACCCGTCTTATCATGATGTATGTTCCTCATTAAATCTCTTTAGAGTTTGTTAACACGCATCGCATCGATGAAACGTGTTTTTTTTAAAATTTTTATAGGATTGATCCTAAATTCTTACACACTGTCGAATAATTCACTCTTAGCGCCTATAATTACTATGTGAAATTGTCTAGGTTCGAATTTCGTAAAGTGCATGAGCCGTCTTGTGAAGGCATATATCAGTTATGTAGACAACGAAATGTATACGTAGAAGGCCTTCTGTCAACTGATTTAAATTACCATCAGTCTTAAGTGGTTTGTTTCAGAGTAGAATGTGCAATACACATATCTTGAATCACACTTGTTTGTTATACTTTACATGTGAAATCTCTATTATATTCTCTTTTCTAATATTAATGTGTTTCTATGACTTATTTTCTTATAGACAAATCTCTTCGCTTCTGTATCCAACGATGAAGAAATATTTATTTGGGATATTGAAAAAATGGAGCAACCAATGTCACCTGGAGCAAAAATTCAAGTATGTTAGGAGATACTTTTTTATTTGAAACTGATTTGGTCATAGTTCCTTTTACTTTGTATAGTTAAAAGAATAACAACACGATTTTTTCATTCCAGATCCATATGGAATAGGTAAAATAGCTCTAAGTTAATTGATAAGTGTTTACCCTTGATGCTTAAGGTCAACTGAAGTAGGTCTAACTTGGAAAAAAAATCCATTTGGCCTCCAACTGTTGATGTGAGTCGTACAGGAAGATAAAGACTACCTTCCTGGGGTCTTCGAAACGATAGGCATTAGTAGTTAAGGAGCATTGTTGAAATGTACTGGGCGTTGCTGATAAAAATGCATACAAGTAGTATATGTTGAGAAAGCGACAGAAATCATAGGGAATTACCAGCATTGGGTAAGGATTCTGCTTAGGGAAACGTAAGAGATAATGCAGATATATTAAGAGGTCAAAGGAGAAGAGGAAATAAAGCGCATTATGCAAATGGACAATCCTTCCTTCGTCTCTGTCTTCTCGTTTCCCTCAAAGTGTCTGAAAATTTAGTCACGGTGGCGCAGATGTATTCGCTCCTCGACGTCTTTTAAAGCTTGACTATTTTGTATGAATCTAAATTTTCAAAATCTCTTTCCCATATACCTTTTTTCACTTTTGTATAAGTCTTTGTTTATCTATTTGTTCTTTGTATACTACTGTGAAGTGTAGCAACTTGAAGGTATCTCTACTTGTGTATAAGATTCTATATTGACTGAATACTTCAACCTAGGCAACTGAGTATATTTATAGGCTGTCTTAAAACAAGTTTAGTTCATCATCCAGTAGAAAAACACATGTACAAGGTTAATTTGCGTTATTTTTATTTATTACATAACTATTCTACAAATTGACTTTAGCGCGAAGTATTCATCATGTAATCTCATTGGCCTATTTTTAATTTTGAGTACTGACCACCTAATTGGACGAGTTGTAAACAGCTACAGAGCTTGGTTAACGTTATTCAAGATAATTCTCTTAGATATACTTCAAGAAATGATTCCAATTATCATACTTAATGTGAAGCGTATCTTTTCAAGTTAAGAATGCGTACACAGCATATATCCTACAGTTCATTAAGTAGATTGACTACTCAAATAAAACTATTCTGTAATCGATTTTAGGTTGGAATTCATGATGAACTGACATCAGTTGAATGAATATTGGAAGCATGAGAGCACTGGAAACTTGTTTCGTCCTAGTATGAGACTCCTCAGAAATGCGCACCCATGACCTTGAGGTTCCATGACCACCACATTACCATTGAACCACTAGGTCGGAAACCAATAGTCCACATTTCTCAGGTTTTCAATGTTCCTTCAACCAATGTGAGTCCATGATGAATTGCAACCTAGAATCGATTAATAAACCTTCACAAACCTCCAGATAGGATTAGTCTATACTCGCTTATTCAAATTTAATTCAGCTGTACATTATTTTAATCCTATTCCTAAGCATCAATTCAATGGCTTTAATTTATAAGACACAGTATTCTAAATTCTATCTTAGAATCTGTTCAACATGAGAGTACTCTAATGTTTACATAGTTGATCTTTATGAGAAAGAAATGATATGCTCATCAACATTTGCTATTTTACAGATTCTATGTAATCTTAAACGATATACTATGCGTATGTATTAAAGACTAAGGTGTAGCATGAGTGCTTAAAATCCCTAGATGTTGGTTTGTCTTGGACGACGACGACGACGGGGGTATCCTCGAGACAAAACGAATCAATAGACGACGGCTTCTGATAATATGTCTAAAAATCGATCACATTAGTGAGAATATATTCACTCTTTGTGATGCCTTCTAAAACTTGAATATTTGCACTATCCCTTATCTATAAATTGTTTACTCTCTCAGTTAACTTTGTCTACATTGATATCACTCGTTTTCTATCCACTTGTTTTTCGTATAGTACTGTGAAGTGTGGCAACTTGAACCGATTCACTTGTGTTAAAGGTTCTACCTTGTTTTATCTGTCTGTTTTAAAAATTAAAGAATGAAAATATTGAAGAATAACACTCACTTTCATATTTATTTGTTGGTTTTAAACTAGTTTAGAGGTTTGTGAAGGTGATATCTCGATTATAGATTATGATATCCGTTGGGAGGGAGGACCGTTGAAAACCTTGGAGTGGTGGTAGCTAAAAACCAGTTTAGTTGTTCAGTGCTCCCAAGTATTCAGTCTTTCACCAGCGGATAACATTTCGTAATGAATACCACTTTTAAACTAATCTGTTTTGTCAGCATGTTATAATCTAACTAAGTGATTCCAGATAGTCAAGTCACTGTTGTGTGTTGTTTTATTGAATACTACAAAAGTCAATCAGGTGTCCTTTTCTTGCGGAATATACCCATCTGGATATGAAAGAAGAACAAGTATTTATGCTCGCTGATGATTGAAGGTGAAGTGAAAAATCGGACAGCGATTGCATTCGAACCAGCAACCATCGGCTTTGAGGCCCGATGCTCTACCAACTAAATTATGAGAACCTCATATACGGTCAACTGATAAGGACAAGTATATTTCAGTGAAGAGTCTCTTCTCGATGATTTCACAATCACAAATTTATACATTTCACCAGTGTAAACATTCCATAGTTAAAAACAGTTTGTCAAGCATGGCAGTCAACACAAATAGTGTCAATCATGTGAGCTATCATCAAAATCGAAAAAACAAAACCTGATGAATAGTGAATATTAATGAAAATAAGTTTGGACAAGAAGGTGTTTCGTAACATGACGATGACAACAACGACGACGACATAATTGGAAAGTGAGTTGTGATCAGACACAGCATAGTAACAAGAATGAGTAAGAAGTGAATAATGTCAAAGCAGAAAAATGAGAAGAAGTGGTAGAGGGTTAGACCAGACTGAAAACTAACACCATGAAACGACAACGGGTTGAGCAATCTTCTATTCTGTGCACAGTTCACCTTTCTCCATATGGATGGCAAGAGCTTCGGCGATGCAGAGAACACGAAGACATACAGCATTTGGAAGGTTTCTTTCCGTTTCATCGATCACTTTCAACGAGGACATCCTTGAGATAGATAGATTCGTGTTCACCATGTGTTCCATTTTATCACTCTTTTTTATCACTCCATTCTTACCTCTCTGTAACCACACGAGATAGTGTTCTTCAGCCCTTTTGGGTGACAGTCACATCGAACTACCTATATACCTGGTTCCACAACAGCAGATCAATTGATATACCCACATAGAAGTGGTCAGATAAGAAAGTCTCTCTTTCGAGTTGTTAGAAATCGTTGGGTGACAAGAGGATATCAGTCTCAGCATTGATGCAAAGATTGTTCTCCTTACAGTGTTTGATATCCTCTTTTTGAGAGTGTCAGTAGCAGAATTAACTTGGAAGTTTACATTCATACAGATTGTTTGTTTTGGCACGATGGTAAGGTTTTCTTTGAGAGGTTTAAGTTTGATGTGTTAGTCGATGAAGTGCGGTGTGAATCCGTTTTCAATCAGGATGTTCTTTAGAACAATAGTTTCCTCTTCTAACACATTGGGGTTGTAGATTCATTCAATGCAAGTGGTAAGAGATATGATGAGATTTCGCTTACCACTCATACGCATACTGCTGCTAAAGTTAGTCAGTTGACAATTCCACATTCGTTTTCTGTGAATTGATCGACGTATCGTTCCATCAGCAGTTCTTGTCAGCTCTACATCAATAAAGTGAATTTTCGACCGCTTTTCAAACTCAAGGGTGAATCGAATTGTTGAACGGTAGTTATTGAATATTTGTAGAACATGATTCCAATCATGTTGATGATCACAGATAGTAAAAGTATCATCCATGTGCCTTTTGTGGAGATGAAAACCTTCAATGGTTAACTTCAGTGGTCCGTTCTGCAAACTGATCATAAAGAAGTCTGTTAGTAGTGGACCTTGTTGGGGTCCCATGGCGATTCCATCTCTCCGTCTATAAATCATGTTGTTCAATATACACTGTAAGTTGAATATGCATTTAAGTAACAATTCGTTAAGGTGGAGGTTCGGTATCCTAACATTTATGTTGTTATCTTCTATGTGTCTGCATAAAAATGAGACAGTTTCGGTAATTGGAACATTGATGAAAAGTGTGTCGACATCAAGTGATATCAGACATTTATCAGATACATCTTCGTCTCTTATTCAGCTAACAATTTTGAAGGTATCATGTAGAGAGCGGATGGTGATTCGTCTTTTTACAGGCTTTAGGATTTCGACTAGCCATTTCGCGACTGGATGATAAGGAGATTCAAACATGTCTAGAGTCAGATGAAGGGAAGGACCGACGTTGTGAGATTTCGGTAATCCGTAAAGTTGTGGAATTGTGGAGCCTGATGGTTTGATGCGTTCGTACAGATAATTGGTTATTAGCTGAGCATTTTTCTTTGACGTTTTCAAAACATCAGTACATTGTTGTCCAATCGATTCCGTCTTTTTTCCTCTTTAGCAGGTTTGCAGAATTTCTTTTCGTCTAAAAGTAGAGCCACCATTTTCCCAATTATAGACACTTTTGTCTAGTATGACCAAATCCACACCCTTGTCCAGACATGTTATTATCAAATCTTTGTTGCATCTTAATCGTTTCAGCTGTTCTCTGTGCTCTTTTTGTTTTGACATTATTCACTTACTCATTCTTGTTACTATGCTGTGTCTGATCACAATTCACTTTCCAACTATGTCGTCGTCGTCATCGTCATGTTACGAAACACCTTCTTGTCCAAACTTATTTTCATTAATATTCACTATTCATCAGGTTTTGTTTTTTCGATTTTGATGATAGCTCACATGATTGACACTATTTGTGTTGACTGCCATGCTTGACAAACTGTTTTTAACTATGGAATGTTTACACTGGTGAAATGTATAAATTTGTGATTTGAAATCATCGAGAAGAGACTCTTCACTGAAATATACTTGTTCCTCTTTTTAACTAACTTTAGGCTTGATATAAGTGTTATTCATTGATACTTGTAATTTCCCATCATTATACTGTGTCGAATCGCTTATCTGTGTTGGCAGACGAGTTCCTATACGGTTGGGTTAGTACCCAGATGTCGAACAATTAGACCCAGTATATCAATGAGAAATTCAAAGTATCAATGAACAACAACTGGATATCCTTTGCAGAAGAGATGACTATCGTCCTTCAATGGCCTTGTGGATAACACCTTGAGTGCTTGAAGCAATAAGCATTGGGTTCATTGGGAATAACATCACTCACTGTGTTCCTAGTGTATCCACTTCACGAGTCCAAAATGGGATGAAACGCGCGTCGTGAATTCCATTGCTAGCTACCAAGTGCACTACAACCTCGCCTGGTAAACTAGTTTCTAACCGGTCCTAAGCCCGAGGGAAGGTTGGGCATAGGGCTGGCAACCCTACCCCGTAAAACAAATCTAACCGCTGAAGAAACTTCAAAACACAGACAAAATATAAAAAAGAAAAACAAAATTATTCCTCACTGGATTCGGAGAGGCGAAATGACGCCAGTTGGTGAAAGCTTTCGGGAAGCCAATTCGCCGATGTGTTTTCTCTCTCCCGATGCAAGCGAAAGTAAACGTGGGGACATAGAATGCCCGTACCATGTTTGAACCCAGCAAGGCAGCCCAGATTGTAAATGAGATTAGAAGGTATAGAATTGAAGTGCTTGGAATTTGCGAAAGCAGATGGAATTGGAGTGGACTCTCCAAATTGTCAACTGGAGAATCAATAATCTACTCCGATATTGTCACCCAGACGACAACCACGAGCACACGGAGTTTTGGAGTGGCTATCATGATGTTCCCCTCCCAAGAGCATCGAAGGCTCTCTCTCATGCAGTGGGAACCAATCTCCTCATGCAGGATCAGGATCATGACAGCAAGGTTCAACTCAAAAGGAAGGAAAGTCACAACCATACAATGCTACGCTACTCACCTACAAATAATGCAGAGCAAGAGAAAAAGGAGGAACTCTACAGACAACTGCAATCAGTACTGGTCAAGACCCTACCCCAGTTATTGACATCAAAATTCTAGTGGGTAGGATGATATGAATGCCAAACTGGGAGGGGACAACACAGGAAGGGAACAAACCATGGGTCGAGAAGCACTCGGTGAGGTGATGAACGAGAATGGAGAATTGTTTGCAGAATTCTGTGCATTCAACGATTAGGTGATTAGAGTGAGGCAGTATGTTCAAGCACAAGGATATCCACAAAGCAACATGGAGTTGACTTCACCAGACACCAGGACACACTAAAAATCAGATCGACTTCATCTCAATGTGAATAGAGTGGAGACGCAGCCAGCCTACTTGACACAAGGTCGAGAAGAGGAACAGATGTAGGTTAGGACCACTCACTGTCTAGTGCAAGGAACTTGCCTTCAAAATCAAGTTGAAAGCCTTCAAGGAAGCTGGTAATAGACCACAGTTCAAGTTGAACACCTAGAACACAAACTGAAGGACGAAACTACAAGGAACACCTTCACATCAGCCATCAAGACAAAATGAAAGGCATTAAGCAACATCCCTTAGAAAAGAGGAGCTGAATACAACCTATAAAACACTGGACAAAGAAGTGAAGAAGAGCGCACGCAAAGACAAAAGACACTTCTACGAAACACTGGCAAGTGAAGCAGAACAGGCTGCAGGTAAGAGAGACCTGACAATATTGTAGCAAATAACCAGGTTACTATCTGGCAGGAAAGAGATCAACGCAGACGAAACCAATAAAAGATGATGAAGGAAATCTAACTAATTATGAAAGAAGAGAAACAAAGGAAGCAATGGGTTGACCACTTCAAGAAGCTCTGGAATCAACCACCACAACCACTGTCACTTCTTCCAGAAATACCACACCTGCAGCCCAGCCACAGAACTACAAGTGAACATAAATCCTCCAACAAAGGTTGAAATCCTGAATGGCATAAAGCTACTGAAATGCCGGAGAGCAGCAGGACCAGATGGAGTCCCACTAGAAGCACTGAGAACAGATGCAGAGACAACAGCAGTGGGCATGCTCACACCACACCACTATTGCAGAAGGTGTGGAAGGAAGAGAAGGTACCTGCCTATTGATTGTAAAAAGGGTTACCTTGTCAAACTGCCGAAGAAGGGAGACCTCAGTGTTTGCAAGAACTGGGGCGGAATCACTCTCCTGTCCACCCCAAGTGAGCAAAATATTAAGCCACATCATCTTGGAAAGACTAAAGGATGCACTGGATTCAAAACTGCGACCGGAACAGGCTGGCTGGCTTCAGGAAGTACAAATCATGTGAGGATGAAATTGCAACGATACGCATCATCATAGAACAGAGTATAGAATGGCAGTCAACTCAACTCTACCTCAACTTCATCTACTTTGAGAAGGCCTTTGACAGCGTCGACCGACAAGTAATTTGCCAGTTGCTTCAATATTACGAAATATCGCAAACTTTTATCAACCTCATTCAACAACTGGCTATATGAAGACACCACATGCCAGCCAAGTAATTCACAATGGAAAGCTCTGTGACGCATTTGAAGTGAAGACAAGTGTAAGGCAAGGTTGCTGTCTACTATCACCCATCATCTTCCTCATTGTGGTCGACTGGACTGGACTGGATCATGCAACAAACAGTGAGGAGCTGTGAGAAGACGGGGATACACTGGACTGGTGAAAAGATGCTAGGAGATTTGGATTTTGCCGATGTGGAACAAGATCCGGATTTTCAACACCAACATCAATTCCATGCTTCTGTATGGTTCAGAGACTTGGCGCGTTACGAAGGGGATTTCCAACCAACTACAGACATTGATCAACAACTGCCTACACTGGCTCGATACTGAAGCTCAGATGGCCAGAAAGAATAAGCAACAAGGAACTCTGGCGTGTGACGAACCAACCAAGAAGCTATCGCTGAACAAATATGCACTGGAAGGAATTGGAGATGGATCGGGCATACACTGAGAAGGCCGACTGGGGGCATCACGCGCCAGACCAAACCAAACCAGGCCGTCGAGTGGAACCTCGATGGGAAGCGACGAGTTGGGCGTACGAGATGATGGTGACATGGAGGAGATCGTGTGAGGATGAAATGAGAGCTTCTGGGCTATCGTGGAGCCAGGTTCAAAAGGTTTCAGAGAACAGAGCGCATTGGAGACGTGCTACTGAAGCCCTATGTTCCATTAGGAACTTAAGGGACAAGTAATAATAATAGTAATAATAATAATAATACGAAGTGCACTACAAATGTTCGAAGTATTTTGGTAGCAAAAATACACTTTATGTAATCTGTTGCTTTATCTGTAAAGCTTGTTATACTCTTAACGTTGACTTTTGTCATCAAGGTTGCACAACATTAAAAAATCTTGTAGATAATATTTTTTTGATAGGATGCGATGAATGTAAGATCGGAGGCCTCATTGGGCAAACAACCAGCTTGTGATACATTGCACTCTAGTCGATCTGGAGAGTAATATAAAAGTCTGTGATGAATATATTCTGAGTTAAGTGCCATCATCAAGTCATCTACCATTATTCATACATTATTCTCTATCCTGTTTCCTTCCTTCATTCATTCATCCTTCCTTTCTTTCTATTTTAATAGCCTTTAGAAAATCTGTGTAAAGTTGCATGGAATCCACGTGTTCAGCATATACTATGTACAACAAGCATTGGTCGTTGTGTTATCTGGGATTTACGTAAAAGTGGACCAGTTTTACAGCTAACTAAAACAATGTGTCAGGTAAGTTTTATTGTACTGAATGATAGCTTTCTTATTTTTGTCTTTTGTACTCTCTCATAGCGATACTTGGCCTAGGATAACTTTTCAGGTGTATTTTCCATACGTCTCTTAATTGAAGTGTCTCTTCTGATGAATACTACACATTGTGTGGGTAAGAAGATTCTAAGTGTGTTAAGTTGGTACTTGATAAATAATAGATGATGCCTAGTCAGAAATGATGAGATAGTATTCATCACGGACTGGGATCAGTTGGAGAACCCTCTGAAAATGTGGGAGCACTGGAAAGCTGTATCATCCTAGTATGGAATTCCTCAGGAGTATGCACCCACGACCCAGTGATCGAACTCAGGATTTTCAGATTTCCTAGCAAATGTATCAATCATTCATGCATTGGGTCAGAATTTAGTCGAGTGTACTACTGAGGAATTCCATACCATTGTTATCCTTTAGTTTAAGGTTTTGTTAGATCCGTCTCAAAATTATAGTGATCGGCAATCATTGTTTACCGCTTTTAAGGTATGTTTCCTATATAGTGAAGTATATAATACCATAATGTGTTTTTGTACAAAAGGCTGTATATCCTAATTAAGAAGGACGTGAAGGCTGAAAGGACGAATGCATCAAATGTTCTAGGTAATACTGTTGTTAAATTATCTGATATAACAATTATAAAGTTTTAAGATTGTTAACAATCAAAAGATAATGTTGTTGCTTAGATTATCCCGTCGTTGAGTGCAAACAACAACAGCAACAATAAAACTATAACCGTAGCACAAGAAGTGGCTATCGTAACTCGATGATCTAATAGATAGCACTCCGGCATTTGAAACAATTCATCCTGAGTTCTAGTCTTATTGGGAACAATATCTCTTATTGAGAGGCAGATACATCCAGCTGACGAGTTCCAAATAGGACGAAATATTCTCCTTGAATCCTACTGCTAACCACTATCCATCATTAATAGATAAATCAAAGGATGAGATTTTAAAAAAAATAGATGGTTCCGGCGAAGAAAACGTTTTATTTTTTCGATGAAAGTTTGAACATGCTTTTTTGTTTTCGACATCTAGTGCTGGTTTAAACTTCTGAATGGTTAATGCTTCAGCTGTACCTAAATACTTTGATCTCATCCCCTTTTAAGAACTGAAGACTCATTTCCATTCTCCCTTTACAAGTGCATGCATCGTACAGCCGATGTATCCATCTCCACAGGAATGAGTAGTTTCTTCTTAGCATCGATTTTTTTTTTCTAATGTATTTACAGCTAGAACCACAAATTATGGCATGGAGTCCAGATGTTGCAACTCGATTGTGTATAGCGGATCCTAACAATCCAAATGCTGATGTACAATTATGGGATCTTCGTTATCCAAAACATATGCTTGCCTTATTAGGTCATTGGCCACCATCAATAAATACATCTAGTCCGTTAACAGGTTGTGCACTAGGTAATGCTGGTACAGTAAATTCATTATCCTGGGGTATACCTGAATGTCAAAAGTCAATGAATAAATCTTACTTATACGATACAGATATGATTGTAATGACGATTGGTGCATCTGGTGCATTACCAACATTGAATGGTACTTGTGGGACAAAATTAAATCCAACATATGCTGAAATGTTGGTTGTTTGGAGCGTTGATCAAGCGTTAAGCTCGACGCCAGATACTGGAACCACACATGAAGGTTTGTTTATCTTTATTTTATGCCATTTCAGATTTATTATCCGCTTACATCAATTTAGGTTATAGTACTTCAATTCATCACAATAAGTGGAAACAAAACAACAACAGGCAACTGCAAAATAATACACTAAATCGAATAATAATAATAATAATAATAATAATAATAATAATAATAATAATAATAATAATGTCCTGAGTGCAGAATGAATTCATGAAGTTCATTTTCATCCAACTGATCCTCAACTGGGAGAAATTTTTATTGTGTCATGGTTTAGATCAGATGTCAATGAACTTGTGGATCAAATACCACTTAATGGTGTATGTGACTAGTCTGAGTTTTTATCTGACATATTTCTGCTTCAACGAAGCTATAACGTAAAGGAGGAGGAATGGGCGGACGGTGCTGGGAACTTGTTGCTCGTTTACAATTCAGGTTTATTCCGGTATTCAGTATCATAATTAATTTGATTACATTCGTACACTACACTCAATGTGAAGCTGTGGGGCATTGGTTTAGTCAGTTGAGTACCAACTAATAAGTCCTCAGTTCGAACCCCACCTCATCTATCGAGGTCTGGACAACCATGTAGTATTATTAACCCTCCTACAATAGATGTTACTCATTGTTTACTGTCTGGATATGTAAGATGTTGCTGACTGCATTTCAACTTTCTTTTCGATATCCACTCGATCACTTCATTAACAGCCGTTTCTTTATTTTTCCAAACTAATTAATTTATTCGACACTTAATCCTATTGTCATACTTCTTCGCCTTCCTTCCTCATTCAATGCTGTGCCGTAATGACAATCATAGATCATCCGACTAAAATAGTATCTGTTGAATAGAGGATTTTTTGACCATTCACATCTACCGGAGATAAGTAATGTAACAAAAATTCGATGGCAAGTAAACTTCACCCTGGAGTTAAAAGACCTAATTGCCTTATTAAGTCTGAAATATAACGTTTGGATACTATTTATAACTAGAAGTTTCTAGTGTGTAAGAACTCTTCCAACATATGGGAATTATTTGTAGAGCTTACTGGTGGAAAACAGATAACATCATCATCGTCTATCAACATAGGACCAGGCATTACTGCGTAACGGTCTAACTTGCCACAGCTGATATCTCTACATTAATTAAAAAGGCAGTGAAGTGGAAGATGAAGAAAAGAAAATTCAGTCAAAAGAAATATAAAGTATTAAAAGAGAGAAATGGAGAATGAGAAAATGGTGAGATTTGTTATAGCGTCCTTAAGATGAGGATAGAGTGTGTAGACATCTGCGTCACTGACATCGGTTCTCAGAGTCTCCAATCACTGGTTCCTCTTGTCCCACAGACCCTAACCACCTAGTCTGCATCGCCTCACATGGCTCAAACCAACAGTCAAGCACTTCATACATTGGTGCCATATTTTAGTCTGACCACCTCAAGCTTTTTTCCAGCCTGAACCTACTTTGGCCAACATTGTGTGACGAGGCAATCGGCGACTAGGCATACGTAACGTATGTCGGAGCCAACCATCTCAGTCGATGAAGGTTCATAACCTCGTCAACTGACTTACCTCTTCTCCCTAAAACTCTACACCTGATTTCTGCATTGCTCATGTGGTGACACCACGGAATACGGTCTATACTAAGAAGGCAATGGTGGTCAAACACCTGAAGCCAGCCTTCTCATGTCTTCCACCTTCAATGGCCTTGTTTCACAGCCATAAAGTAGAATAGTGTTTTGCTGTGCAGTACACACGACTCTTAGCAGACAATCGGATATCACGGCAGCGCCATAAGTGGCGTAAGTTGGCGAAAGGTAACAGAGCCTTTTGTATTCGTGCAGAAATTTCGTCGGCCAGTGAGCCAGCCACCAGGGTTGATCCTACTTCCCAGACAAGTGAAGTGGTCAACACACTCAACCGCTTCACGCTCTGTTGTTAGCGGAGGCACCGTTGAAGATCAATCCTGGAGCAACAGTTTGCATTTGGGTGGTGAGAACTGCATCCCAAACATTCTCAAATTACCACTCAGGGTGTTGAGAAGACTCTGCATCTTATCAACGTCTTCACGTAACAGGACTGTGTCATCTGCATATTCTAAGTCTAAGGAAAATTCTCCTATGATTAGGTCAACCTCTGTGTAGTGAGGTGACGAGAGGGAGACGTGTATAAGAATATCTGTGATAAAATTGAATAAGAATGGAGACAGTGGGCAGCCTTGATGGACACCACTGGATGAGCATAGCTGCCTTGACATCTCACCCTAGGCTCTAACACACCCATAAGTGTTTGAGTATAGAGCCTTTAATAAGGTGATGTACTTACTCGGCACACCTTTCAGTGAGATATTGCCATAAGACTTCTCGATCAACGGAGTTGAAGGCCTCTTTTAGGTTGAGAAGCACTGCTGTTGTCAGGCATCGGTAGGCGTGTCTGCGTTCCAGGACCTGGTGCATTATAAATATTTGGTCAACACACTTGCGGCCGGGTCTAAATCCTGCCTGGTTTTCTCGGACCTATTGTTCCCGAGGTCCACTTAGGCATCAAAGAATTACAGGACCTAGGATCTTGGCTGATTCCTCTGTGGTTATTACAAGAGAACTTCTCGCCTTTCTTGGAGACGGGAATAATCAGTGATTCAGACCAGTCAGAAGGGGGATCGTATTTGACTCCCACATACTGATTAACACTTCTGTTAACTTGACTAAGAGCACTCTACTACCATCCTTGTATACCTTGAAAGTTAGTCCATCTGGTCCTGCTGCCCTTCCTCGTTTCAAGTTACCTACCACTTTCTTGATTTCTGCAAGTGTTGGGAGCCTATCTCAATGTTCTATTCAGAGTTCGACTGGGTAGCGGGCAGCGCAATGGTGGCTGGAGGCCAGTTAAGCTTTTCCTCGAAGTGTTCTGCCCATCGTTCCAGTCGTCTCGCCTGGGAGTGAATCGCAAACCCATCCTTCTCCTCCATAGCCTCATAAACCGTTATTGACCTTCTCGCTCCAGCTTTTTTAATCAGTCTAAATAACTGTCTACTATCACCAATCATCAGTATACTCGTCCTTTGATATGTAGTCAGATATTTTGCCGATGGCTTAAGTAGCGTAATTTGAAGTTTCAATCAGTCACTATGGCCACTAAAGTGTATGAGTAGTTTCGCGTCATTACTTTTAGAAACTTTTATTTTAAGGTAGTTTTCACCACGAACTGACATCCATTGGAGAATGATTGAAAGCCAAGGAGAACTTTACAGTTATTTCATCACCTAGCGTATGGTGCTCATCAGCAGCACGTACCTGCTACTTCGTGAGGGATCAAGGTAAGGACGGTTAGGTCTTGTAGAGAAAACTACACTGGGACTGAATAATCTTCAAAACCATCAATTACATTTATTATTATTTTAAATGTTTATCTGAATCAGGTGATGTGTCATCATCATCATCAAGATCAACATAGGACCATGCAGTATTGCGTAACGATTCAAGTTGTCACACCTCATATCAGCACATCAAGTAACAAGGCAATAAAGTACACGATGAAGAAGAAAAGTCGGTCAAAGGGGGTATTAGTAGAAGTAGAAAGTAGTAAAATAGAGGAAGGAAGAATGATAAGATGATGAGGTTGAGTATAGTGGTTAAGATGAGAATAATGTGTGTATACATCTGCCCCACAAACGTTGATTCTGAGACATCACCTAGAGTCCCCAACTACTAATGGTTTCTCTTATCATGTGGCTGAAACGAACAGTCAGCGACTTCATGCATCGATGCCATGTTTTAGACTAGCCTCTCCAACCCCTTTTTTACAGCCTGAATCTACTTCGGCCAACATTGTGTGACGAGACAGACGGTGGCTAGGCATACGTAACATATGTCCCAGCTAACCATATCCGTCGATGAGGGTTCAAAACCGTGTCAACTGAATTATCTCTCCTGCCTAAAACTGTACGTCTGACTTCTGCGTAACTCACGTGGTGACACCAGGAAACACTTTTTATGCTAGGGAGGCAACGGTGGCCAAATACGTGATGCCTTTTCATGTCTTCTACCTTTAATGACCATGTTTCACAGCCGTGCAGTAGAACAGAGCAGACTCCAGCACAGTACACTCGACTTTTAATAGACAGTCAGATATCACGGTGGCGCCATAGATGGCATAAGTTGGCAAAAGCGGACTGAGACTTTTCTATTCGTGCAGAGATTTCGTCGGCCATTGATTCATTAGGACTGATCCGACTTCCTAGGTAGGTGAGGTTTTCAACGCGCTTAACCACTTCACTGTCTATTGTTAGCTGGGTATCGTTTAAGACCAGTAGTGGGGCAACAATTTGCATTTGAGTCGTTAGAAACGTATCCTAAACTCCTTCAAATTACTACTCAAGTTGTCCGGAAGACTGCATCTTCACCTGACAGGACTATATCATCTGCGCATTCTAACTCAACCAGAAAAATTTCATGTGATTAGGTGAATCCTTGGGTGGTCAGATGATGACAGGGAGGTATCTATAAGAACGGAGGACGGACATCATTCGACGTACACAACTCACCCGATATCTCATCATAGGCTCTAACACCCTAACAGGGGTTCGAGTAAAACGTCTTCAATGTAGTGATGTACTTACTCGGTATCGCTTTCAGTGAGAAACATTGCCACTAGACATCTAGATCGACGGAGTTGAATACCACCTTCGGGTCGAGAAATGCAAGCATTGTCGGGTGTCGGTAAGCGTACCTGTGTTCCAAAACCTGACGCAATGTGGAAATTTGGTCGATACATCCACACTGGTGTGTAAATTGTGTTTGCTTATAAACAAACTTCCATGGTTATTATTAATTACTGTTTTACATGCAGCTATGAACAAGAACAAAGGAGTTTTGCTGTATGGTCATAAATTAAACATCTGGTTTGTTTACAGAGTAATGTTTACCAAGAATGAAATTATCTTATTGTTTTCAGAAATAAAATATATTTTCCAATTTGTTTTTGAATGATTAGCCAAGGTAATTTTCTCACCTTATTTCTAATTGATTTTTCAATTCATAAATGATTATACACGAATTTCAGCTTGTCTTTACTCACATTCCAGTAGTTTTTCAACCGCCTAACTTTAATGTTGGAACTTGTATTATCCCATCATTGATAAGCCCAAATTGATTGGTCTCTTTTTGCCTATGAATTCCTGCGCAGATGCTTCGATATATCGCCAACTGACGAGTCCCAAATAGAACGTAACGTGCGTCCTGGATTCCACTGCCAGCCACTATCCATCATTAGACTGACTGTATTGTCGGGAAGAATTTAGTCGAGTTTATTGTAATTCATGATAGACGTTTCACAGATAGTTAAAAACCACATGTATACTGCACAGATTCACTGAGCTCAATCAGAATAGTGTAAACACAGGATATCCATTACCTTCATGTATCCTACCAACGTTTAGCTGACAGGAAATTCTTTGTTGTATAATTCAGAATTGTTCATATTGCCTCAGATATGGATGCAACCTTCATCATCTTAGCAATTTCGAACATATTCATTATTAAGGTTTACTTATTCATGTACACTTTAATTGTAAGTTGGTCGGAGTTAATCAGCAGGAAACTATGTACCCCTATGTTTCCTGCTTGCAACCACAAAGGAACTGATGTCCATCAAGTATACCGTGTTGGTTAGTCTCTTAGCTTGACGCGACCACAGTTTGAAACGATATATGAAATTCAATCCGCACTTATCACTAGTTGACTGGATCATGCGACAAACTGTTAGGAACGAGAAGATGCGTATACGCTGGCTGGAGCGATGTAAAGACCCCAAAAGAAGATTTGGATTTCACCCATGATGATTTATGTCCAATGTCTTGTCGCTCGAACTCAAAGATATACAGGCGAAAACTAACAAGTTGGCAGAAGAGTCAACGCAACGAACGAAGACGGGACTTCCTTCAGGTGAAGAGAAGAAGAGAAGATAAAGATGATGAAGATACCCAACCAACAATAATAACAAGAAGAAGAAGAAGAAACACCAATCACCATCAACAGGAGAAATCTAAACGGAGTTGTCTCCTTCACCTACCCAGGTAAGACAGCATCGTTTCAACTAGTCATCGGCGGCGGTGGCGGTGGCGGCGCTACAGATGAGGACGTTAAAGTCAACATCGGTAAGATAGAAAGACAGATCTTCATTAATTTGAAATAATCAGTGTGGACATCTACTACACTGTACTGTACTGTACTGTACTGTACTGTACTGTACTGTACTGTACTATACTGTACTCAGCATAAAGCGTGAGCAACATCCGGATTTTCAATACTGATGTCAGTCACAGTGAAGTCAGTGCTTCTATGTGATGGTTGAGAGAGCTGGTTGCGAGTTACGAAAAGCATTTTCAACAAACTGCACACACACACACACATACATGAATCAGATGAACAGCAGCCACCTACATTGAGTGTATAGTGACAGTGAAGATGAGATGGCGAGAATAATAAGAATAATGAGGAAGAAGCAACTGTTGCTGGCTGGCTGGCTGGTTGGCAGGCAGGCTGGCTGGTTGGCAGGCAGGCTGGCTGGCTGGCGACGAACCAACCAACAACCTATCGTCCAAAAAATGTGGAGTATAAGAAAGTGGAGATGGATTGGATTGGATTGGGTTGGATATACACTGAGGAGACCATTTGGGTACATCACACACCAGGCTAGGCTAGACGTGGCGAGGCCGTGGAGTGGAACCGAAATGGGAAACGACGAGTTTGACGTCCCAGTCGAGAGTGACATGGAGGAGATGGTGTGAGTAATAAATGAAAGCTTGTGGGCAGTTGTGGAGTGAGGTTGAGGAGACTGGAGAGAAGAGAGTGAAATGGTGATGTGTTAGTAAAGCTGTATTTTCCACTAGGAACCCAAGGGGCAAATAAATGATAAAATAATCACTGGATAGCATGAAATTGGTTACTCCCTGTTGACCAGTTATTGTTACATACCTTTTTCTTCTTCAATATCATCCTTTTTTTATAATTACGACCCGTTTGTGTATTCTTATGAAGGAGTATTATTCTCATTCTTTGTTGTTATTGTCTCTGTTTTCTTTTCGGAAAAAAATAACATTACTTTAGTTACACCTGAACCGATATATGTTGGTCGTTTAGAAGGATTAGATGATCAAGAGTTGGCTAGCGCTTCATCTTTCAATGAATTGCCAACAAATGCTTCTGTTCATTGGATACCTAATCATCCGAATTTAATTTGTGTAACACAATCAGATGGTTGGATTACTGTGCATAATTTAATGAGTGGATTATTAAAACATTCAGATAAACAAATAGAACAAGTGAATATTGAACGTTATGTTAAACAACGTGCATTAGCTCAAAATTCACTTGGTATGCATACATCGCATAAAGTGGCTGAAGCATTCGATGATGAACAGTCATTGATATCATTAAATGATAGTATGAATATTAGAAATAATAATAATAATACTAATAATTTCGAGTCAGATTCATTATATCCTGTTTCAATGGGTGATGCAGGTGCTGCCTGTATAGGTCAACAACAACAACACCAGCAGCAGATTAATTCCTTGATAGATCAGTTATCGAATGATTCTAGTTATTATCTGAAGTCACCAGTTTATTCGCTTCCACAGGTATGTGTTGTTTTCGTTCCTTTTCATATCCGGTTGTTTTTTTTAATTCCCTTGTTAGGCAGTGTGTTATGCTAAAATCGTTGTTTAATTGTACGGGGGGGGGGGGAATGAAAGTTGATTAGTTTTCCGATAATGATACCATAGGTTATGTGACGTTACGTGGCTTGGTGTGGCTGGGTGATCAGCGCTCACAAAATCTCAATATTCAACTAATATGATTGACTCACTATCCTCAGAATTTAACAAATCAACTATATTAAAAGGTAGCGACTGAATGAAAAAATCAATGTAGAACCTTGCATACAGGTGCATCGGCTCAAAAAACAGATTGATAGAAAAAGTGATATGAAATTAGATAAAGTAGTATGAGAGAATAAACAGTCGGAAGATAGAGATAAGCGCGAATATTCAGGCTTTAGAAAATGTCAACGTGTAAACACATCTCCTCTATTGCGACCGATTTTCAGCTGTCACCAAGAGTCCTCAACTACTGATTCGTTTTGCCGCAGGGACTCTAACTAGGCAGTCTATGTCACCCCATATGGCTCAGACTAATAGTAAGAGACTTCATGGACTGGTATCACGTCTTGGCCCGACCACTCTGAACCCTTTTCCAACCTAATATAGCCTTCTGTAGTTATGGTACGCCGAAGTAGGCGGTGGGAGCTTGGCATGCATAGTTCTTGTCCAAGCCATCTCAGTCGATTAGTGCTCACAACCTCATCAATCGACTTACCTTTCTTGCCTAGTACCCTTCGTCCCACCTCAACATTACTCATATAGTGATTCTACCGAAGGTGAGCAATGCTACGAAGACAGATACCTATAATCAAAACCGTGCAACCACTTCACGTCTTCTACTTTCAACGGGGTTATCTCACAGTCGTATAACATGACCGAACGGACTACAGCACAGTATACTCATCCTTCCATTGGCAGTCTAATGTCTGGCCGATTGGCACCACAGATGACTCAAATTAGCAAATGCTAGATGCGCTTTGTGTATCCGAGCTTAGATTTCGTCAACAACCATGGCATTTGGTGTGATGCAACTCCTAAAGTGAAATGGTCGACATGTCCCACGACTTCATTCTCTGTCACTAAGCTGGCAGTACTTGCAGGAGACTAGACCTAAAGCATCATCTTACATTTGAAGGGTACCAGTGAAATGTATGCCAAACATACTCAGATTTCTGTTTACTGGATCCAGGAGACCTTGCATTTTGTCAACATCTAGCAGGACAATATCGTCTGTATATTCCAAGTCAACTAGATGACCTCCAGGGAGTAGATGGATTACCGTGAAGTCAGACATACCTTGAAGGTAGTATTCATTACGGACTGACATAAGTTGGAGAATAAGTAAATGTCAAAATTATTAGAATGAAGACCATGCCGTTGAAATCTTAATAGACGTTTCAGAGTATGATTGAAGGTCCTAGGACAGCTAGTAGCTTCTTACCTTACCTTCTCATCCACCGTACCACAGTAACATATCTGAAGTGAAACCAGATTATTTGTACTTCAGTGACAGTGTTATCGACATGAACAGCATAGAATAATGAGACAGGAGCCGTCAAAGACTGAACGACCACCTAGTACATTAAAGGGAAAGCAATCCAAGTAATTATGAAGAGGATGAGTAACCCTGGAATAATACCCAATTATCAATAAGGTCACTTTTAAGCAATGGATTTCAACAGGGTTCTCTTGTTATCTTAGAGTTCGGCTGTATTTACATTCAGTTGTACTATATCTCGAACTGTGAGAAGCAGTGAAATGTATACCATCGGATTCCAAACCCATTAGCTGATTAACAGAGTGCTCATCATGAGACTTGGTTGTCCTAGGCTTGGTTCCTAGTGGTACCGCGAGTGCTTACTGCTGAGTAATTTCACACCGGGATGTAACAGCTACCTAGTGCTTCCTAATTTTCTAATGGGACTCTCCAATTGAGATGTCATTCCGTGATGAATGTTATTTTGAAATTGATACGTTTTCATTCCATATTATAAATCAATTTGCTTTTATGTTACATTAATTTTTTAGCCTATGCCCTTGTTACGTGTTGCACCATGCTGGTTAAAGAGACCTTGTGGAGCTCATTTTGCTGTAAGTTTTGTCTGATAGAATGGACACATTTACACCTTGTTATAATATTCTTCTTAAAGTAGTGAGACTTGTTAAGGTTTCTGGCATGGATATGTGAAACACTCCAAGTTGATACATTTAGAATATTTTTAAACTGACAGTATGACTGTTTACGAAGGAGACTTTTGGCCACACAAGATAAATGTGTTTCATAGCTTAGTGCACAAATATTCATATGTTTGCTGAGTACACACACTACTAACGACACTACTCGACTGTTCATTTTAAAGTGGATAGTAGTCAAGTAAATATGCAAACTTATGCACTCAGCAACCTTGTGGACGTTCATGCAGTAGAAAATGAACCATACATATTGTGTGAGGGCTAGTGATGTAACCTGCTATGATATCAAACTAGGACTGCCAATAGCTACTCATTAGCTTACTGCATAACAGTCAGATGTTTGTAGCAATGGGTTATGGGATCGAGTCTGAGTAGGAACAACACTTAACTTGGTGGTGACAAATACATTCAGCTGATGACTCTGAAACAAAACGAAACATACATAATTAACTCCATTGTTAACTACCAATAAGCAAGTACCATTACAATGAAACTTTGAGAGAATAACGAGACATTCATTGAAGAAGTCCGTTTGCCAAGAGAAACCGATCAATACATTCCAGTATAATAATCATTGAGAAATTGCAAAGATTAAAAAAAATGACTCTTGAGTAATCGAAATAATCCCAGTAGATAATAAAAATTGATTAAAGACAATTCAGCGGGATTTTTTTGTTTTCGACAGCTGTACATCGTAAACATAGTTACAGCGAAAAATATATATCAGTCCATCGATACCTACCTAATGGGTCAATATAAAGTCACCAAAGAACAAAGAACAGACTTGTAATGCTGGATTATCAGAGATTCTACTGTGTTGAGGTGGGGAATATGCAGTCGCTTCGAAATATGAAGCACAGTGACCAGAGATAACTAAATGCTCAGGAATCGAGCTGTTCACGGTTTTCTACTTTCCTTTAGACAGTTATGCAGAATAGTGTTCAGAGATGTGTTTGGATAGAACACGATTATGTGCGGCCTATGTAGCCAGCTTTACAAGAGCAGATGAACTGGTAGACACATATAGGTGGCGCGAAACGATAGTTTATCCTTCGCACACCCTCATAAATCAGTTGTTGACTAGAGAAAAAAAATCCGAAGCTGAGCAGCAAAGAAGGTTCTTTCCAGTGCTTTGCATAGTAGATTCTTTAGTATTTCTATCAATGTATCTCCCTTGGATCCAGTATTCATAAATAGTGTCTTCTTTCGAACTGTATGAGCTTCTACGAAATTCTTAAGCCTCATGTTCCTCTCAATCAATCTTATGTGTATTTACCAATTCATCTGCTCTTGTAAAGCTGGCTACATAGGCCGCACATAATCGTGTTCTATCCAAACACATCTCTGAACACTATTCTGCATAACTGTCTAAAGGAAAGTAGAAAACCGTGAACAGCTCGATTCCTGAGCATTTAGTTATCTCTGGTCACTGTGCTTCATATTTCGAAGCGACTGCATATTCCCCACCTCAACACAGTAGAATCTCTGATAATCCAGCATTACAAGTCTGTTCTTTGTGTTCAAAAAAAGATACATTCAATCTTTAATTTAACCTTAGTCGTAATCTCCGTAAGATAGTTTAATCATTCCCCTGTTTATTTACTATAATCCTATAAGGAGATTTTTGATGACCCTGACTTGACCTTCTAACTGTAATTCCATTGTGACTTTATTGACCGTCTTTGATGACTTTATATTGACCCATTAAGTATTGATGGGTTTATATGTATGTTATTCGCTATAACTATATTTATGATGTTACAGCCTTTTGAAAATAACTTTTCAGTAATTGATACACTGGATGAAGTAACAAGCCATGGTATTAGCTGACTCTATCCGGTAGTTTGTCGACAATGGAATAGGAAGCTGGTTGAAATCATGCAATTTGAATTTACAATCTAACACTTAGTTTGCATAAAGAAATGATAATGACTAGCTTTCAGAGGTGATTCTCGAAATTCCAATTAGAAGTCGTGACCAATGTAGTCAATAAAGTCGAACATGAAGATAAATAACTCAACGATGACATTGGATGTAGGTCTACCTGTATCATGAATTGATAGAAGTAGGAAACGTTGACAATTGGATTCTGATTGAGTGACTCAATGGTAACGTGGTGATCACGGGGTCGTGGGTGCGCACTGCTGAGGAGTCCCACACTAGGACGAAATAGCTGTCCAGTGTTCCCAGGTTTCCTTTCTTCCTCCAACTGATGTCAGTCTATGATGAATAACAACTTGAAAAAAATTGCACATTTAGGTATTTAGATTTCAATTCATCATATCTAGTCACCAGTGCGAAAATTTCTGTTGCCTTCAGTTGTCTCTTAAAGAGCACACATACTTTAGTAACGAATGAATATGAGGGAGTTAAGGAATTAAAATATATGGACAAGATACTCAAAATGAATAATTATTCTGTTGTTCAATAAAGTAATACATAACCACATAATACATTAGACTAAGAGATTGACTGAGACACCACAACACGGGTTGAATCATTTAGTTGTATCATACATTACTAAGATTTGGTTAGGAGGGGGGGGGGGGTAATGAATTGATAATGGAAAATAAAAAGAACTAGGGTTGGATTACATCATTTTGAACAGAACACTTAATAATCAACTAGATGCACACTAAGAGAACACGAGTGTTAAGTAAACAAAAATATTGATTATAGTAGTAATAATACGAGTGAGTGACAATAATAATGATAATGATAACAATGAGAATATGAATATTGAAAAGATTAGAAGATTATGTCATTTTGAAACAAGGTAAATGAGCATATCAATTAAGAAGCTTGGTAACAGTATAAAACTAAAGGAGGCTAGAGTAATAGCTGGATGATAACAGTGATATTGACAATGGAGATAAGTCATTTGACTAGTAAGCGAAAAAGTTCAAGAGGATATGATAGTACAGCAGAATGATAGTGAAGACGTGAATATACGAAGTATAGGAAGAAATAAAAACAAAAACAAACAGGTTCAAAATACTTCAGCATCTCTACCATGGTAGATTCAGGGTGACTACTACCATCTCTTTCTGTACACAAGCTTGGTTTACGAGCTTTAATCGCACATACTTCCACACTTGCAAAGCATTTTCTTATTCTGCTGTCTGCTGACAACCGAGAAGGTTTTAATGGTGTCAATATCATGTCGATAATCCATTAGGTGTTTCATAATCAAACTCTGGGGGGAATTTTGGCTTGGCTTGCCTCAACCATTTAGGTTAATGCCCAACCATGCGGGTAGACAAACGCCTTTCCATGCGACCTATGTATTTGCTTCCAAAAGTACATTTAAATTGGGTTTGTTGCTTGTTTTGAATAATTATCTGATCAAATTCATTAACAAAATAGAAAATTATTGAATTAAATGATAAGACAGACTACTCCTAAAACACATCAGCCATAGCTCTACATTCTATAGTTTCAGATGACAAGATCGACTCATCGACAATATCGAAGTTATTTTTAAAAGGCACCTTCAGCAATTATAATGAACCTCTCCTAGCAGAATCTCTTCATATTGAATGAAATCAAAATTGTTTAAATAGCAATGAAGGAGTAAAATGTAGTTTGATCTGGTCTCAACCCACCCACATAACCATCCTACATACGATAAGAACTCTCAGGAGCACATATATACATACAAATCTCAATTTGTAATTCACACACATACACACACACAATACACTACATATGGATACCATCTTAATTCGATAGTTCCGAGGACACAGAATCATTCATACAGAAGAACACTTATCATATATAGGCTTAAGGGATATTGTAAACTTCATTTTACTATAACTTTGATAAAGCTATCAGCAGGATTAAGTAGTATAGCGAAATATCAGTTGAAACATTTTCTACATTCCCATTGGGCAATACAAATAACCTAAATGATGTTTATTTCAACGTGTTCACCGTAAATTGTATCTCTTCTTGTATTATTACAGCATAATATGGAAAATTAACTGTGTTAGAGTATTGGACTGAGAAGTTCTGTCGAAACTTATGAATTATTTATATCCTACTTTCTACAGTTTTATTGTTGGTTATTAAACTAGTGCTAGGGAAGAAAAAATGTCAATATCTGCAACTATGATTACTTAGTTTTCCAGTTACCATATATATTAGTATAGAGAACAACTGTACTTGTATATGTATATTGTGTTATGCTCTATGCGATTATTTTAGAATGAATATGTGAAACAAATTATGACAATTGAATAAGTGAACAAAAAGAGTATATAATGTTCGATTGTGATAGGGAAATTCTGAATCTATATTTTGTGCTTGTTAACCCCTTGATTGATAAGCTTCGATCAGTGACTAAGCACCCAGGGATTAGAAAGCTAAATTAGTCATTCATTGCCTATCAACATCTATAGATTCAATGATACTTAACACATCAGTCTTATATATTATCGAGTGATTTTGGTGAGACATCTAGGTCATCCTAAACTATATTGATATTATTATTATTATTGTATTATATAGTGTTATTTATTTTAAGTATTTGATGTATGAAATAACTACCGTCTGTCATTCTATTTTTGGAATTATGGTTCATTGATTTCAAGTGATGATGAATTCGACTGATTACTTTATTACTTCTCAATAATACTCTGTGTATAGAATTCAATTGATTTTGGGTTCGAACCCTACTCCACCTACTAAGGTTTAGGTCAGTAGGTATTATAGTGAATAACCCTCATAAAATATGTTAGGCTCATTGACACCTACTACACAAACTTGTACATGATCACTGAGTGTTTATGTTACTTGTGTTTATTAACCAACATATTGTTTTCTACATCTTTTAGTTTGGTGGTCGACTTGTCACCTTTTCATCATTAACTATCCTTTCATCAAAACGTACTCGTACTCTTAGTTCTATGAGTGGTAAACGTTCTGATCAAAATCGACCTTCAGAAATTGGTATTGAACAATCAAATCATCAGATACAACCTCAACAACAACAACATCAGCAACAATCTTCAACATTGTCTGAGTATCATCAATCTAACTGTGGAGAATCACAACTACATTGTGTTTCCATTAAATGGATTGATGTATTTCAACTTGAATCGTCTTCAATTGAGTCATTCAATTCTGATTGTAGTAAGGAGAATAAAACAATGAAAAATTCAATTGAAGATATAATTGATTGTTTAGCCAATGTACTTAATTGTCCCAATGAATATTTAATAACAGTATGTGAAAGGGCTAAAGAATTATTGGATACAACAGGCAACATTGATTGTCGTCTATCAACAAATAGTCAATCTAATTTAACCTTATGGAATGTGATTCGCGTAAGTTGTGTCTTTTCTGGTTGTTCATATTTGTAGGTTAATTGCGGGGGGGGTGGGGTGGGGGATTTATTTATTGATTTCAGGTTAGTATTCATCACCGATTGACATTATTTGGAGAAACATTGAAAACCTGGTAGCACTGGACTGGTGTTTCGTCCCAGTATAGGGCTCATCAGCTATGCGTATCCATGACTCTGCTTCTCTAGACATCAACCCCCGACCTTCAGGTTCCATGGCCAACACGTTGCTATTGAACCACTCGGTCGGGATCCAGTTGTCTCCTTTTCCTATTTCTGTCAGTTCCTTCTTTGAGTAACTGTTCTCATGTCCGAATTGGCTGACCCCACTGATCACAACTTCTCATATTTAAGCGTAATTCTAGTTTATATTCATTTTGATTGTGGATCAAGCATACTTTCTTAACATATACTGTTATTGACTCTCATACAGTGAACATCTCTTAATTTGAAGTGTAAACATCAGGCTTATATGACCTGTTGTTTCTGTAAGACGACTTTTCTGCTGCTGATGTCTTTTTTCTTTGTAATATTAGGAAGGTAATTTAGAGCATAACTGGTTGCTTTCCATATAGGTATCCTAGACTTTAGGTTGTCTCATATCATCTCAGTCAAAAGATAGGTCTGAACAAATGTTTCAGTAATCACGTTAGAATGTTGATAAAGAAAGAATTCCAGACCTGTATTATATATCAGAAATCATTACGTCGAATTCTAGACAAGACCAGTATTATTTCATGTAATTCAAACTTAAAAGTTCACTCTGAGATAAGCTATATCGATTTAAGGACTCCATTGTTCCCGTTTGACAAAATAATTCAAGTCAAACTAACAGATCAGAGTTAGTCATATTGACAGAAAACAGGAACCTAAATCAAGCTGATTAGTTATGCCTGTAATAATACACAATCATACAGTTAGTTGAGACGGATTAACAGTCATAAAGACGTGTTATGGTAACATGGGCGGGAGAAGTTGATCACTAGATCTCTGTTAACCGATGCCCTAACCCTTGCAATAGCAATAATTCAACGCCAATTCCAGATGTATGTAAAATTTTACTGCCATTCAAATCATATTGTTGTAAGAATATTTCCTTTGCTTAGCACTATACTTACAGCAGGATAATTTGTCGATCAGTGGGCAAACAGTTCCCATAGTAGGAAATTACATACTGAGTCCAGTATTAGCGTGACAATTGGGATAACTGTCTAACAGTAAAAGGCGCCACACCTCATGTTAAAACACAAGGCAGCAAGATAGAAAAATTCAGGAAAAATATAAATCATAGTTGTAGAAGTCTATAAGAGTAGAAGAGAATATCGAGTAAAGCAATAACTTATTAAGGCGGCAAAAACATATGCTGCCAACTGTGTAACAGTGGGATATGGGCACTAAAAAGTGTACCATATAAATTAAACAAGATTCCAAAGATAAAGATGGAAGGCTGGTAGGGAACTAGCAATGGTTACAGAAAACGAAAGGCATCAATATTACCATTTATTCACAAAGCTTTTATTGGTTGTGGATTACTTATGACTTTGGATTTTACCGATGATGATTTATATCCAATGTCTTGTCGCTCGAACTCAAAGATATACAGGCAAAAACTAACAAGTTGGCAGAAGAGTCAACGCAACGAACGAAGACGGGAATTCCTTCAGGTGAAGAGAAGAAGAGAAGATACAGATGATGAAGATACCCAACCAACAATAATAACAAGAAGAAGAAGAAGAAGAAACACCAATCACCATCAACAGGAGAAATCCGAACGAAGTTGTCTCCTTCACCTACCCAGGTAAGACAGCATCGTTTCAACTACAGTTATCGGCGGCGCTACAGATGAGGACGTTAAAGTCAACATCGGAACGATAGAAAGACAGGTCTTCATTGATTTGAAATAATCAGTGTGGACATCTACTACACTGTACTGTATTGTATTGTACGTACTGTACTATACTGTACTCAGCATAAAGCGTGAACAACATCCGGATTTTCAACACTGATGTCAGTCACAGTAAAGTCAGTGCTTCTATGTGATGGTTGAGAGAGTTGGCTGCGCATTACGAAAAGCATTTCCAACAAACTGCACACACACACACACACACATATATACATGAATCAGATGAACAGCAGCCACCTACACTGAGTGTATAGTGACAGTGAAGATGAGATGGCGAGAATAATAAGAATAATGAGGAAGAAGCAACTGTTGCTGGCTGGCTGGCTGGTTGGCAGGCAGGCTGGCTGGCTGGCGACGAACCAACCAACAACCTATCGTCCAAAAAATGTGGAGTATAAGAAAGTGGAGATGGATTGGATTGGATTGGGTTGGATATACACTGAGGAGACTATTTGGGGATATCGCACACCAGGCTAGGCTAGGCTTGGCGATGCATGGCGTGGCCATGGAGTGGAACCGAAATGGGAAACGACCAGTTGGTCGTCCCAGCCGAAAGAGACATGGAGATGGTGTGAGTAATAAATGAAAGCTTGTGGGCAGTTGTGGAGTCAGTTTGAAGAGACTGGAGAGAAGAGATTGAAATGGTGATGTGTTAGTGAAGCTGTATGTTCCACTAGGAACGCAAGAGACAAATAATCATGAAAAATAAATTGTTTTTATTTAAATTGTTCTTGGATTGTAGCCTTGAGAGAAATGTGGTACCATCTGAAGCATCTAGGTGGTGTGAACTCTTTGAACCTATGCGGAGATAGAGATGTGGGGCGTGGATGAATACTTTTCTGATGATTCTGCCCTTTTTCAAGTTCGCCAGACGAAGACGTGGCACTAGTCGATAAAGTCTTTGATTGTTGGTCTTAGTCATGTGGGATGCTGTAAACTGCCTGGTTGGGGTCACTACGACGAAAGGAAATCTGTGGTTGAGGACTCTTGCTGACATGACTGAAAATCCGTCACAATGGTGCAGATGTATTTCACTCATTGACATGTTTTAAAGCTTGAATATTCACACTTATCTTTATTTTCAGATTGTTTATTCTCTCATTTGTCTGCAAGGTTCTACATTGATTTTTTCAGTTAGTCACGTTATCAGTTGGTCATCATTATTACCAGTTTAAGGTACTTTTATAGTAAAATGTCTTACTTCAGATATCTTGTTGGATTAAGGAATGTTCTATTCAATGAAATTGTATTTCTGGAAAAGTTACTACTTTTATAAAAAGGTAGTTAGCGGTCAATCGGTTAATAAGTCATTGTATGTACAATCAGGTTTCTCCTCCTGTATTCAAAAAGTATATCAGAATATCATCCAAGAAATCGCAACTGACAGATACGGTGGTATTTAATGCTGACTGAATCAGAAGCCAAGGATACACGGCAAATAGAAGGTGGTGATTGAAAATTAACAGAATTCTAAGTATATCCCCACATCGGTTCTCCTTATCGACTGCTCCTTCCTCCAACTCGACAGTCGTACTTGGATATCGAACGAGCTATGCGGGAACAGTTCCTTCTTGAGGCTCACCATGTTAGAAAACTCTATTGAGTAGTGATGAGTCAAAAAGAAATTACCATCAAAGCTTAAGCTATGATGAGGTCCACGGATAAAGTCTTAGTGTTAACTGTATGGGTGTGACAACAGTTAGATGTTTCCTGTGGACAACAAGCATTCCATGCTGATTCTGCCCCTCTTCCCATGGGAAGGAGGAGTTGAAAATTTGTAGGTCATAAAAATTGCACATCTCACTGCTCTGTGTTATTCTGATGCAGTCGGTTTATATTTTTGTAGTCCGAGTGTAAGGTAGTGAATTCGTACTCGGAATTTTCCCAGCTAGGCAGAGTGTAACCAATCTGCAGCCGGTGTCTCTAGGGCTTTGCGTACACGTGCAATTGAGTCACTTTCTTTCTTAAGTAGCTATCAAAGACGCCAGCTTCCATGTTCTCCTACCCCTGAGAAGAACTACCATCTATTCACATGCTCCCAACAGTTTATCCATTTACTTTCTATTTCAGTAGTTGGTTTTCGTGTACTGCCATTATTATGAATGTTTTCTAATTTTTGAGTATGATAGCGATCTTAACAAGTTATTTGGATTATAGTAATGCTTCAACAAATGGCATATAATTGGTTGATGTATATAAGACGACCAAAGTAGTCTCATTTGAAGGGGAGTTTTGACTGAATTTTTAAGAAAACCTGACAGCCTATAGAGCTGTGGTTCCTCTGTCTGGGTACTTGGTTTCCAGCCGATGAGTCACGGGTTTGAACCCACCTCCAATTATGGAGGTAGGCATCGGACAATAGGCGTGACTCATGGATGTGCATAATTTTACTGATTTGCATTCGAATCCTGAGGCCGCCTACTATTTCTCCAGTTTCATTCACCGACTCGTTGTATGGTATTTTATCGGTGTTCATTGTTTAGCTTGATATTTACTTGTTCAAGACTGATTAGGTATCTGTTTAATTGTCATTTTTTCGAAATCATTGTCTTTGTTTTACGATATCTTTGTTCAATCTAGGCTCGCTTAGAAGAACCAGCCTCTGTGAAATCATCGTTGTCCAGTTTACTTGGCTATAGTAAACAAGATTATCAAGGTGAGCGATAAACTCTAAATAGTCTCTTCTCATATTTTAGTTACTTTACACTTAATTCTACCGCACCACCGTATCTGAAACACTGTCAAGGTCTGTTGATTTTACATTACATCTTCTACTAACACAGCCATTCACACTCACACAGCGACACATTTTTAGTTAACTATATTTTATCAATGAAACCTCATAAGAATTTCAAACTTGATACCTGCATTTTTGTCCTCCAATAATCATTTCTTCTATATTATCCTACCATTATTATTTGTCCTTTGGCTTCCAAGTCGAACATAGAGCTTCACTACCACATCACCATTTCACCCCCTTCTCTCCAGTCTCTTCAACCTGCCTCCACAACTGCCCACAAGCTTTCATTTCTTACTCATACCATCTCCTCCATGTAACTCTCGACTGGGACGCCAAACTCATCGTTTCCCATTTGGGTTCCACTCGACGGCCTCGCCATGCCTCACGTCGTCTCCCCAAGCCTAGCCTAGCCTGGTGTGTGATGTCCCCAACGTGGCCAACTGTCCCTCACCAATCATATTCCTGATTATGGTCAACTGGACTGGAGTGGATCATGCAACAAACTGTTGAGCACCGAGAAGATGGGCATACGCTGGCTACACCGATGAGAAGACCCCAAAAGAAGATTTGGATTTCACTGATAACGACTTATGTCTAGTGTCTTGTAGCACAAACTGGAGGAAATACATGCAAAATTGAAGAAGTTGACAGAACAGGCGGGACACCAAAGAAGGGACTTACTTCAGGTGAAAGTACAGAAGACACGGGTGATGAAGATACCCAACCAACAATAATGACAAGAAGAAGAAGAAGAAGCACCAACCATCATCAACAGGAGAAATCTAAACGAAGTTGTCTCCTTCACCTACCCAGGTAAGATAGCATCGTTTCAACTACAGTTATCGGCGGCAGTGGCGGTGGCGGCGCTACAGATGAGGACGTTAAAGTCAACATCGGAAAGATAGAAAGACAGATCTTCATTAATTTGAAATAATCAGTGTGGACATCTACATTGCACTGCTGTACTGTACTCAGCATAAAGCGTGAACAACATCCGGATTTTCAACACTGATGTCAGTCACAGTGAAGTCAGTGCTTCTATGTGATGGTTGAGAGAGTTGGCTGCGCGTTACGAAAAGCATTTCCAACAAACTGCACACACACACACACACATATATATACATGAATCAGATGAACAGCAGCCACCTACACTGAGTGTATAGTGACAGTGAAGATGAGATGGCGAGAATAATAAGAATAATGAGGAAGAAGCAACTGTTGCTGGCTGGCTGGCTGGTTGGCAGGCAGGCTGGCTGGCTGGCAACGAACCAACCAACAACCTATCATCCAACAAATATGGAGTATAAGAAAGTGGAGATGGATTGGATTGGATTGGGTTGGATATACACTGAGGAGACTATTTGGGGATATCGCACACCAGGCTAGGCTAGGCTTGGCGATGCATGGCGTGGCCATGGAGTGGAACCCAAATGGGAAACGATGAGTTTGGCGTCCCAGTCGAGAGTGACATGGAGGAGATGGTGTGAGTAATAAATGAAAGCTTGTGGGCAGTTGTGGAGTCAGGTTGAAGAGACTGGAGAGAAGAGAGTGGAATGGTGATGTGGTAGTGAAGCTCTATGTTTCATTAGGAACCCAGTAGAGAAACATTTAGAATTGATTGGAGGTGTTTTTCAAAGCAGTTTCAGTTTATTGAAGATTCTGAACAATGAGGTTTAATTATTGCAATGGCTATAGGATTTTCTGTTTTTTTGTTATGATGAATTGAGCAGGTTGTAGGATTATTATAGGGAACGAGAATATGGATTGATTGATTTGCGCGATAATGTATCTTGGGTGTTTGACAGGACTCATGGAAATCAAAATGTTAACTCACTTTTTTTGTGGAAGAAACAGTGGCATCCATTCAATGACTGACTGATTGATTATCAAAATCAACGTGCAATCGTGTACATGTGGGCATCAGCTCAAGTTGCGACACTTTACAGAAGTACATGATGATGAGTCGGTCGATAGAGAAAGACTGATATCAGAGTAGACAAAGTTGTGTGAGAGAATAATCATTTGGAAGACGTCGATTAGTGCAAATATTTAGACTTTAGAAAATGTCAATGGGTGAATACATCTGCACCATTGTAACCGATTTTCAGAAATTTCACTTGTGGCCCTCAACTACTGATCGCTTTCGTTGCAAGGACTCCAACCAGCCTGTTTACATTACCCCACACGATTCGCATCAGTGGTCATAGGCGTCATGGTGTGGTATCACTTCTTGGTCTGGCCAACTTGACGAAGCCTTTTCCAACCTAATGCAACTTCCACTATTTTGGCACGTTGAAGTGTGCTTTGGACGCTTAGTATGCTCAATTTGTGTCCAAGCCATCTCAGTCGAATAAGGTTTACAACATTATCAATCGATTTACTTGTCTCTCCTCGTGTCTTTAGCCTAACCTCAACGAGTGACCTCGAAGACCACTCTAGTAACAATTGAAGTAACCAATTAAATTTCCCTATTCTATGAAAATTTCCTTTTCCGGCCGAAACGGAGAAGCCTTATTGGTGTTTTCGATTGTTGTTTGGGTAGCCTTTAAAGTCGCTCACCTCAACATTGCTCTCACAGTGATTACACGGAACATGATCATTGTATCGGAGATAGACACCTGTGATCAAAACCGTTCAACCGCTTCGTGTCATCTACTTTCAAAGGAGTTGTTTCACAGTCGTACAACTGGACCGAACGGACTGCAGCACAGTGATTGATAGTCGAATGTTTCGCCAGTCGGTATCACAGATGAGACAAGTTGGTAAATGCCAGATGGGCTTTGTGTATCGGAGCTGAGATCTTGTCATGAAGCAGTGTATTTGGTCTGATGTGACTCTCCAAGTATGTGAAGTGGTCGACACATTCCACCACTTCACTCTCTATCGTAGTACTTGCAGCAGACCAGTCCTGGGGCACCATCTTACATTTGATAGGCGTCATCGAAATGTATACCAGACACACTCAGATATCCGCTCAACACGTCTAGAAGACCCTACAGTTTGTTAGCATTTTCACCTGGTAGGACAATGTTGCTTGCACATTCTAAGTCAACCAGATCCCCTCCAAGGAGTAGATCAATCCGTGTGAAGTCAGATGTACCTAAGGTTATGTCGTTCAGTACGTCTATGACAAAGTTCAATAGGAATGGTGACGGTAGACATCCCTGCCGGACACCGCTAGTTGTTGTCAACTTAAATCAATCAATATCCAATTTGATGGAAAGATGAAAATGCAGAGTCATTAACATCTGTTCACCATACTGTTTAAATCTAGTACAGTTAACCTTATTCCTACAGACCCACTATTCCTTGCTCATTTAGCTTATGAAAATCTGTAACTGCTAAATTGATATCAGTCTCCCTGGATTAATTGATACTCAAGCAAAAGTCTCATTGTCGCTGTTAAAGAACCTGACACACAGATGTGCATCACTTCAAGCTAAGTTGAAAAAGTCTACGATGTGCCTAATGTTTTTTGGAGGAACAGATAGTAAAGTTATCGGAAGTAGCAAAGGTAGGGATTATAAGTTAAGATTAGATAGGTTAGAATTCAACGTAGACTGAAATCAGTTGGAGGAAAATTGGAAACCTGGAAGCATTGGACAACTGTTTCGTTCTAGTATGGGACTCGTAAGCAGTGCGCACCCATGACCTCGCCAGGGGTCGGACCCAGAACCTCCAGGTTCCGTGGCCAGCACGTAGCTATTGAGCTATTGAGTTTGATCCCTGGTGGAATCATGAGTGCTTACTGCTAAGGAGTCCGATACTAGGACAAAATAGGTATCCAGTGCTCCTAGGCTTCCACTGTTCCTCCAACTGATGTCAGTCCATGGTGAATTCCAACGTAAAATCAATTAATAAACCTCCACAAACTTTTTCATTCCGCCATCATACTATGTAGCCTATTTACATAATGGTAGTAATTCTTATCACTATACAACAAACGTTTATGGTATAATGAAGACATTAAGGAATAATTGTTCTAATTGACTTTGCTTGTCTCGGTTTGTTACACCATAATTAGTAAGATTATATCAAAAATCTATATATTTAGTCATTAGTTTTATTTCTTAAAATGATCTTCCTTTTAACTTAGACTTTAGTAGATGTACATCTAATGATCAATTATTGGATGCTTTGAAAAATGCCCTAGTTACAGGTGATTTTATCTCATCTATTCGAATATGTTTACATTCGTAAGTTATATAATATGAATGTATTTTATCGGTTCACGTATTAATTTACTTCTCATTATAACATATATTTGTGTAGTGTAAAAGTAATAAAGGTATAACGTTTGAATATTATTATTTTCTGAATGTATATTTCAAGTTTGATCAGTTTTATTATTTAGACAGCATCAACTATGTTGAACAGACGTTGGCGAGCTACACATAGTGTTCACTTTTTCGCACATAATGTATAACATTGAAAGCTTTATTAGTATTTCTATGATGCCCTGTGTTTTACTAGGTGTGATAGGGCAGGACTTTTCATCATTTTCAATTAAAGTGGGTAAATGCTGTTTTATCTGGAAACATATCTCTCTGTATTTGTACACTCTGTGTAACTTGTTTCACAGGAATAGTTAAATTGGTATATGCGAAATAAAGGGCTATTATTTGGTAGGTTATCCTTTAGTCGACTACTGAAAGGTAAACAAAGATAACCTAAATCACGCGTTCCATTGAATATTATAGTTAGTTGAGATGTAACATTGAGCGTCTTCTTTGAACTGTAGTCATAGAAACAAAAGTTTTCGCTTTATTGTCATGAATTCTCAATTGTGACCACTGTAACTGATGTTTGCTTTAATAAACTTTTCAGGATCTACGTTTTTACTAAGAATATTACGAAAAATTTATTCAGGGTCACGTTTACTGCACAACAGTCTGCTCCGTTCTACTCTATGGCTGTGAAACATGGCCACTGAAGGTAGAAGATATGAGAAGGCTACAGGTGTTTGACCACCGTCGCCTTCGTAGTATAGACTGTATTCTGTGGTGTCACCACGGGAGTAACGCAGAAGTCAGATGTAGAGTTTTAGATAGAAGAGGTAAGTCAGTTGAGACGATTGTGAACCTTCATCGACTGAGATGCCTGGCTTGGACATATGTTACGTATGCCTAATCACCATCTGCCTCGTCACACAATGTTGGCCGAAGTAGGTTCAGGCTGGGTAAAGGATCGAGGCTACCAGACTAGAGCATGGTCATCATCATCATTATCAACATAGGACCAGGCATTGCTGCGTAACGGTCCGAGTTGCCACACCTCATATCAGCACATCAAGTATAAAGGTAGTGAGGTGAAGGATGAAGATAAGTGAATGCAGTCAAAAGAAATATAAAGTATGAGAAGAAAGGAAAGAGGAGTGACAAAATAGTGAGATTCGGCATAGCGTTGTTAAGATGAGGATAATGTGTGTATACATCTGCGCCACTGACTTCGGTTCTGAGCCATATCACCTAGGGTCTCCAACCACTGGTTCCTCTTGTCCCGTGGACCCCAACCACCTAGTCTGCATCGTCCTACATGGCTTAAACCAACAGTCAGAGACTTCATACATTGGTGCCATGTTTTAGTCTGGCCACCTCGGGCCTTTTTCCAGCCTGAACCCACCTCAGCCAACATTGTGTGACGAGGCAATCGGTGACTAGGCATACGTAGTACGTGTCCCAACCATCTCAGTCGATGAAGGTTCACAACCTCGTCAACTGACTTACCTCTTCTCCCTAAAACTCTACACCTAACTTCTGCATTACTCACATGGTGACACCACACTAGAGCATGGTATCAATGTATGAAGTCTTTGACTGTTAGTTTGAGCTATCTGAGACGATACAAACTCTGGGTAGTTGAGGTCCGTGGGAGAAAAGAAACCAGTGATTGGATACTCTAGGTGATATGGCTTAAAAACGACGTCAGTGGTGCAGATGTCTACACACTTTATCCTCATCTTAACGATGCTATACCGAATCTCACCATTTTCTCATTCTTTCTTTCTCTCTTTTAGTACTTTATATTTCCTTTGACTGAATTTTCTTTTCTCTATCTTCTGGCTGTTACTGTTTGTGCCGAACTCTGTTATGGCGTGATAGTAAACATGAATAACCTTAGGTGCCTTCAACTTGTTAAGAATTGACTTTCCCCCAACAGGAGTGAAATGGTCTAATATGGTGACCTTTTTACTTCCTTACAAGGTTGCGTCAGTCCGAATGTGTTCCTTGTTGACCGAATTTTCGTCCGGATTAGAAAGTTCTGTGTGTTATATGCCATTTTAATCCGATTACTTACTGCAGGACAACCATACTGGATGTCAGTTCGCTCTTTCCTGTTATACTGGTGTTATTTTTTCGAAGCGCTAATGGTATATGTATATATTCCGAAACGAATATAACACGCGCGCTTAGCTGACAGCTAACTTGGTACGCAAGAGATACTGACTGCAACCCCGGGACGAATAGAGAGAAGACCGAAGCTGGCAGATGGAAGAGTGTATTACTCCGAGAATATAATAATGAATCACTTGAATAAGTATACACATGAAAAATGACGTCCTCAATTGGAGGCATTTGCATAGTAAGAGGAAAGATTAACCAATTAGCAACTTACTTTACAATGGGGGCAGAAAATAGACTATTAGTCATGCCATAAAAATGATGTAGGAATGACACGTTAAAATGTCCAGATCAATAAGAATGTTTTATACAAAACCGGGGTTATCACAACAACTGCCGTAAAGCATGACCAGTGGAAAGAGAACATATGAACAGGTTGGAGGTTTCTGACCACAGGTATATTTGTAGGACTATTGGTATGTGATGAAATCACCGTGTCATGATTAACCTTCACCGACGTGAGTGGCTTAGGCATCTTTTACACATACGCAGCTATCACCCGCTTCGACGAGCAGTTTTAACCAAATTGGGATCCGGATATTAGAGTGCTATGAATGGTCAGACCAAGATGTAACACCAATTGGTGAGGCCTCTGACTGATGGTATAGGGAGGTGTAGACTGATGATATGTGGTCTGTAAAACGATAGGCAAAAAAAAGGGTTGGTGACTATTTGTGATATGTCTTAAAATCGGTTACATTGGGGTAAATGTATTCGTTCTTTGACCTCCTCATATATCTGAGCATTTTTTCACTAACCTTTTAGGATTCTCAATCATCGCATACATTTTTATCTACTTGAAGGTAATTTTTTCTGCTTACTTGTTCCTTGCAGATAGATAGATAAACAGACAGATGGAAAACATCAACGTAGAACTTCTCATATAAGTGGATCGGTTCAAGTTGCCAACCTCTATAAAGAACTGATTGATAGAAAGAGATTGATATCAAAGTAGACAGAGTAGTATAAGTGGATAAAAAAAATCTGAAAATGAAGGTTAGTGCGAATATTCAAGCTTTAAAAGATGTCACAAGAAGTGAATACATCTGCTCGCCTACCACCGACCCCAACCAGGTAGTTTGTATCTCTCAACATGGCTTAAATCTACAGTTTTAGAGAGTTCACCAACTGGTGCTACATCTTGTTTTGGCTACCCTGAACTCTTTTCTAACCTAATGATACATTGAGGCGAAGACAATAGTGACTCAGCATGCGCAATACATGTAAAATAAACTGACTTGAGTCTATGCATTTCTCTGCTAGGTTCTGAATTAATTTTTCTCTCCACTTTATTCTCTAAGGTTGAATACACATTGATAATATGAGGATTAATTTTTGACTATTTTTAAATTCACCTATACAATGATGATAGCTGATATGTGTGTGTAAGGTTACACTAGATAGATGCGAGAATGTATTTACTAGTTTTCATAATCATCGTTAGTGTCAGTTATTCGAAGAGAGTAATCCAGGTTCCTATGCATCATTAAACAGTCAGGTTTCATAGTAGCGTTTACTCTCTTTTTCATTTTTTTTATCCGTTATACTATTACATTAAATTTTGAGGGAGTTGTGGAGATTTGGAATTATTTCAAGTTGTTATTCATCGTAGACTGACATCATTTGGAGGAACAAAGGAAACCTGGGAGCACTGGACAGCTGTTTCGTCCTAGTATGGGACTCCTCAGCAGTGCGCACCCACGACCCCACCAGCAGGGATCGAACCCGCGACTTTCAGGTTCCGCGGCCAGCGTGTTACCATTGAGCCACTGGGTCAGAATCCAATGCTTCATATTTCCAACTTCTGTTAGCTCACGATATAGCGCAAACCGCCACCCAATGTCATCGTTGAGTATTTGTCCTCATGGCCATCAGGCTTTGACTCCACCGGTCACGACTTGTCATTGGAACTTCGGGAATACTTCTCGAAACTAGTCACCAATGAGCATCAGTTCGATTAAATTTGGAGGGAGTTGTGGGTCGTGGGTGCGCACTGCTGAGGAGTCCCATACTAGGACGAAACAGCTGTCCAGTGCTCCCAGGTTTCCTTTGTTCCTCCAACTGATGTTAGTCTACGATGAATAACAACTTGAAATATTACATTAAACTCAATAAATTTCTCTATTTTATTTTTTAAACTTTAGGAATTTTTCATCTTTATTACTACCAGATTTTTCTGTATTGAATATATTCGCTATAATGTTAACTGATTCACATCGTTCTGATCAACCAGAATTATATAATGAAGTACAAATAAAGCTGTTGAATATGTTGAATGATCTCTGTTTAAACAATAAATCAGTTAATGCGTCATCATCATCATCATCATGTCTAAATACAATCCTTATGTTATTAAATGGTGTATTAAGTCGAAATTGGTTAAATATTGTTAACAATTGGCCATTAACTGATTGGTCAACTATTCTATCCACTTTTGTGAATCATTTATGGGATCAAGATATTGATTTATTACAAAGTTTATGCTGTAAGTATCATTTTTTGTTGTTGACATTTTAAAAGAAAAATATTCATTAATATAAGTGTAAAACTTGGGCACTATGGTCGATTGTAATTCCACTTTAGTCTGTTTATTAGAAATATCACACAGTAAGGGAACAGTAGGATTTATTGGATAACCACGTTTTGGACAGAATTTATTGTCCATATTCATATCAGATCAGGTAACTCCAACAACTTCGAGACAGACTTTATATATTCCTAATTTTATCTCCTTCTCTGTGATGACAAGGGTAGTAGAATCTTTCATATATCTGGGACAGGTGTAGAATCATTTCGATTACTGCATGTATTTGATGTTGATTCGATAAACAGTGATTCGGTTATGAATCTCTCCCTTTCTCCACCCAACTAAGTTAGTTTTCAACACTGTCACCTTATCTCCCCCTACTGTGTGATTGTGTGTCATCGCATGTAAAGCTATAGCCGAGCTTTTCTCTACGTCGATTAGAATAACAGAACACAAAAACTCACCTAAATCAAGAATAATAGATCCTAATAAGATAAGAAATCTAGAGAAAAACCCAGCTATCGTCGTGCATGTAATTGCACACAATCACACAGTAGGAGGAGATACGGCGACAGTGTTGAAAACTAACTTAGTTGGGTGGAGAAAGGGAGAGATTCATAACCGAATCACTGTTTATCGAATCAACACCAAATACATGCAGTAATCGAAATGATTCTTCACCTGTCCCAGATATATGAAAGATTCTACTACCCTTGTCATCACAGAGAAGGAGATAAAATTAGGAATGTATAAAGTGTGTCTCGAAGTGTTGCAGTTACCTGATCTGATATGAATATGGATAATAAATTATGTCCGAAACGTGGTTATCCAGGGAAAATATTCATTTCTTTACAGTTGTATTGTGTTCTCTGAAGTCAAAAGGTTAGAGAATATAAAGCAACTAAGATCATCTACCATATCAATCTTTATATGGTTATTTAAGAACTTGAATATATATTTCATAGATTGGTAGGATTTCTACAATAATTGACTTTTATGTTTTAAAACAGATTGTATAATTCTGTCTCAAGGTTTGTAGACGTTTATTAATTGATTTTAGGTTGGAAATAATCATGGACTGACTTTAGTTGGAGGAACATTGAAAACTTGAGAGCATTCGACGTCGGTTTTGTCTTAGTACGGGACTCCTGAGTAGTGCGTATCCATGACTACGCTCCTCCAGTTCCTATGGCCAGCATCTTACCATTGTGAAGTCTCATACTAGGACGAAACAGCTGTCCAGTGTTCTCAAGTTTCCAATGTTCCGCCAACTGGTGTCAATCCATGATAAATTCCAGTCTAAGATTGAATGATTGTTGACACCAAGGTGTTTGTGATCAGCAGTTTAAAAAAAAATCTTACCTAGTAAGAACACTTTCAGGCCTGCATAGATAGAATTTCTAGTAATACAATATCCTCGTCGATGGCACCTAACCATATAACACTGAATGCATGATTCGATGATATAAAGTACCTTAACCTCCTATTCATTCAAAGAAACATTGACTATTTTTATAATTAAGAAAACAAGAACATTGCCACCACGATGACAACTGGTTTCAATTCTGAAGTGTATATGTTATCTTTGCTAACCACTGAGTTGTATAATCCCTTGAACTCCATCCAGAGAGTTATAAAACCCCCCAACAGATGTAAATCACAAATATCCTTCATTTTACAGGACCATATCATACACTAGTCAATTCTCCGCCTCTTTCGACCAATCCCTGGACAAGAGTATGGTTAATGATGTGGGAGGCACTGGGCTGACATGGATAGCACTTATACCAGCCACCCAACCTGGTGTTTCAAGATGAACTTAATTAATGAATGATGATCTCCATCCCGCTTAAATACATCGCATTACCACAATTACGTGCATGGTGTTTTCATTGGATGTAAGAAATCCCGTGGAGACAATATTGACATAACATAAGGTGCTGAGACACCACCTGGAAGAGGTCAGGTTTTATAGACGCATACCAGAACTGCTCGTGTCCATGCGTTGTATACCCGACCTTACTAGCAACGTGAATGTCATGACGGCGCCAAAGATGATCCTGATTGATGTATACCTCTCTACTTTTCGACATACTGTGGGGAATCTTATCAGCAGTCACACCCGGACCAGGATTCGAACAAATACCCAGGCACAACAACATTTCGAAATCACTTAATAACTCACTATTTAAAGTAAGTGCAGGAACAGATTCCTGCCAACCTCACAGAAGCATTTTGCATTTGACGGCGAGAAGCACATACCATGCTATCGGATACTAATTGTAACTTGAATAACCTATGTATTGTTGTGGAGTAAAATAATATTGTCAGCATACTCGAGGTCGAAAAGTCTTTCATCGAGTACCAGGTCTACACCGCTACTATGCAGTGCATTCTAGGCTATCTTCGAAATGTTGTCGATGGCAAAGCTAAAGAAGAACTCTGAAATTAAGCAGTCTTGCTTTATTGTACCAATGGTTTACAACAATGAAGATAGGTGATTATAGACTTTTACTCAACCTGAATTAAGTTGAGTAATTTTTTTTTCTTTGGTCAATAACACCAGACAAACTGGGATGATTGAAAGCACTAGGCGGATTTTGTTCAAAACATCCACTTGAATTCTGTTGGAGATTCGATTGTTGTCGTTGATACTGTCGACCCTGCTGCTGTTGCTGCTGCTGCTGCTGCTGTGGTAATTTCCCCAAGGATTGCATCGATTGAGGAGGGAAGAGAGGATGACTTAGAATATTTGATGACTGATTTCTCAATTGTACATTTGACGGTGTTGGTGGATAGAAATTAGGAGATTGTAATGATGGTAGTTGTGGTTGTGACTGAAGGTTCTGTGGTGCTTGGTAAATATTAGATATGGATTGTTGTTGTGTATACACATGGTGTTGTTGAAGTGATGCACCATGGTCAACAAGTGAGTTCGACTTTGAGAAACCACAATGACATCCAGTTTGCTAGCAAAATGAAATGAAAATGAGGAGAAACAAGTGTTCAATACACTTTCTAGATGAGAAATACAATTAGAAGGTGAAAAGTATTCCAGTTCGGTATCAGAAACTCAATTACTCTGAAGATAAATTTGATAGTGTAATGACTGGTTGACAAAATCAACGTAGAAACGCACACACATATGCACACAGGTGCATTAGCTAAAGTACAATCTCATCTGGTCATCATTAAACATCTGTCTATCTTGTTTTCTCAACCGATGAAAAATTGCTTGATTCATGCGCAATGCATGATATGGGATTTCCAGTATTTGTAAATACTGTCACCATAATTCTGTGCTCATCTTCACTCATTTCAATAAATCAGCTTCTACATAATCCTTATAACAGTCATCATTCATGTCTGATCCAATCAATATTTTCCTGACTAGTCTGTTGAAAGTGTAAAAAATATTTCGCACACATTAGGTAATAAGATCATTGTAGGTTTTGTAAAAACAACCTTGGTAATAAAAGGTATTCAGATTTTGTTCTGCTAAAATTTTCTCTCTGGATGGATTGATCAGGGTTGAATCTGTTAGGAAATATTCAATAGACAAAAACTTTTTTTGGATATAATACCACGCAATTGTCGTCAAATGTCGTTTTATTAAGGGCCACAAAGTAGTTAGCCCTGGTGATCGTAACTAACATTTGCTGATATCTTTCCTATTACTGATCAACGTTCAAGTAGTATGATTCTTTTAGCAAAATATTTGAAGGCTTATTATGTGTCGATCCCGTCAGTAATAAGTCTATTTTGTAACTCATTTCACTAAGTTTTAATTATCGTTCACTTTCTTACAGCATATAAGATTAGGTTTGAAAGTTTGGCTTTCGGTTTGGAAGCAGTTTATTGCATCATATTTTACGTAGTGAAGTTGGAGGTTTGGAGGTGTACGGTTCATGGATGTTATAAATGTCCTGGAAAATGTTTCTACATTTATTTCGATGTGAATCGCCTTGTAACTGTCTGACTGTTTCTTTCACTTGACGGTAGTGATTTGTAAGCACTATGAATACCTACATCGGTTCCCCTGTCGTGAAAATATTTTATAAATTATCTGGTCCCACGTGGGGCCAGTCGTGACCTTGGATGGCTTAGCTGTTGAGTCTCTTCGTTCAGCACTAAGTGATGCAGGTTGGAATCTTCGCGTAGCATTAGAATTTCACATACGCCCTACTGATAAGTGTTTAGAAACACAAGGAACAGGTTAAGTAGAGTTTCCTGGCGATTAACTTTCAATATCTAACACCAAAATGCAGTACACTGAAATGTCGAGTCACACCTATCTCTGAGGCCACTCCGCGACTTCACTTCGTTTCCTAATGCCATTGACTAAAAACTACGTGTCACAATATCCCAAGGAGCTAAAATGACTGAAACGCCTGTCCCTTTGGGTTGTTACCATACCGGAAACGTCTGTTATATAGTGGAAATACGAAAAGGTGTTACCGTTATTGCATAAACCGTTACGGTATGATGGGGGTCCGAAGGCAAAGTCATACTGCTGTTTGGCTGTAATGTGATGTCGTGAATATCATGCTGATGCTGGCTTCTCGGTGTGAAGGGGTAAGGGTTAGTAACGGCCTGTTCGCAACCAGTATGTTTTTTTTGTCCTGTGGTATTCTGGTGCCGGTGGCATATATTTTCCCGTATCTAGAGTTGGAATAACCAACTGATAAAGCAACAATTCTGAAAAGGCCATGAGTTCACGCAAATCACTTTTTGTCTCAGGTACCCTGCAGAAACAATTTCCATAATATAGCCAGCTGGGAAGTGTCAACGCCTGCACGTCTTCAGTAAAATACAACGTCCAATCAAGCATAGCCTATCCTGTTTCTTTTTTGTAAACAGTAGGCTTTAGGGCAAGGAATCCGTCGCCACCTTTAGAATTCCATATTGGTGTATACATTTATGAAATCTGATTATCATATATTTCCGTTCCTATTGTCACCTATATTCCTCACTTATTTCATCCTAGATATTTTACGACTACTTGGATTCTAAAAAACCAACCTCGCCTGGTTAAACTGGTTCACTAGTTACTAGCCGGTCCTAATCCCGGGGAAAGAGGGAAGGTTGGGCGAAGGGTTAGCAACCCTAACCCGTAAAACAAATCCAACTGCTACAGAAACTTCAAAACACAAACAAAATATAAAAAATAGAAACAAACTTATTCCTCTCTGGAATCGGAGAGACGAAATGACACCGGTTGGTGAAAGCCTTCGGGAAGCCAATTGGCCGATATTTCTTCTCTCTCTCGATGAAAGCGAAAGTAAACGTGGAACATGGAATGTCCGCAGCTTGTTTGAATCTAGCAAGGCAGCTCAGATTGTAAAGGAGATGAGAAGGTATAGAATTGAAGTACTTGGAATTTGCGAAAGCAGATGGAATGGTAGTGGACTCTCCAAACTGTCAACTGGGGAGTCAATAATCTACTCCGATATTGTCACCCAGGCGAAACGACAACCACGAGCACACTGAGTTTTGGAGTGCCTATCATGATGTCCCCCTCTCAAGAGCATCGAAGGCTCTCATACAGTGGTAAACGGCGAGTTAGGCGTTCGTGGGTGGTGTGGAGGAGATCGTGTAATGAAGGAATGAGAGCTTCTGGGCTGTTGTGGAGCCAAATTCCAAGGATTGCGGAGGACAAAGTGCACTGGAAACGTGCTACGGAAGCCCTATGTTCCATTAGAAACCCAAGGGACAAATAATAAGATATAATAATAATGTGTTTAAAAAAAGGTTTTCTTAGGCTTCTTTTTGTTATTGATGCCACTGATACGCGCCAACTGGGACTATTAGTACGCAGTTACACCAAATCTTATGTAAATCTGCCTATCTATCTTCAGTTATGTTTCTTTTTTTTTTTTACTCCAAGTTTTATTTTACTTCTACTATCAATCGTGTTTTTGGTCTACTGATGTGTTGTTCACACTTTTTATCAATTCTTTTAGCTGTTATCGTTAAACGTTTACTCAACAATAATGAGGGGATAAAGAATACACTTTCTTCTTATGATGCAGGATTAGCAGCATGTATTTGTTGTATTATTAGTGGAGATCTGGATGGTTTAACGCAATATTGGCTGAATTTAAATAATATAAATGAAAACCGATTAGATGATATGATAAAAATTTTGGTAGGTTATAGCATGTTCAACTGTTTTTGTTTGCTAGTTGAATTTTCTCTCTTTTGTTAAACTGTAGCTGGGGGAGGGGATTGATTAGTTCAAAGATGGTTTTCATCAGTGCTACGTGTCACGAATTGATTGAAGTTGCATAAGATTAATCATCAGATTTCAACACACCATAAGATTTCAACCTTCTTAGAGTTGATTCCATGAAGTGTTGTGAATATTCACCTTAACTTATGTGTGTTGGTTCTTGATGGAAATATTATGATTTAGAAAATGCTATGTCCTATGGCTACTAACGATGCATGGATATCGATTGTCAGCCACCAACGTTCAACAAACTGCTAGTTGATCTTCGACCCGACGTGCTAATATATAAGACACGATGAACGTGTAGTAGTTTTGAGATTCACAAGATTGCAGACAAAAAACAAAGGAAAATACAGCTAATATATAGATAGTTCGCTGTTGAAACCCTAATGGTTGAAGTGAAATAAAAATCTGGCCAGCAGTTGGACCTCGTAGTTCAGTTGATAGAGTACTGGACCCATGACCCCGGTGGTTGCTGTTTAGAATCCGGCTGTGGTTCAAATTTCCACTTCACCTTCATTCATCACCCAGTATCGGTAATACACTAGTCTGTTAAACTACGGTCATATCAGGTAGTCAAATGATAACTTCAATCTATCCCCAGTATCAAAAAACTTCCTCAATTTTATTAACTTTTTTGTCTACTAATATTGTTGTGATGAGTTGCTTCATAATTTTCTGTCTATCTGCCTGTCAATAATAATAATAATAATAATAGTAATAATTGTATGGATTGTTTAGCGGTCGGATTAAAACGCCAATATTTACTCGTTTCGCGTTTACATACTCTTTGGTTAGTTTTAATGAGTGTTATTGTTGTAGAGGAATTGCGCTAATATGAAAAAAAGTGCTGTATGACTCAATTTTTTTGTTTGCTGATTCGTTCAAAAACGCCTTTGTTTTAAAACCGTAAAGACACTAATGCTAATATGTATTTACATGTTACTGTAACCTTCTTGATGACACGTTAGTGAATAGATAGAAAAACGGACAAAATCAACGTGGAACCTTGTATATAAGTGGATCACTCCAAGTTGTTACACTTCACAACACTATACAAAGAACAATGTAGATAGAAAAAGACTAATATCAGAGTGGATCAAATAGTCTACACCTCTCTTCATGGCTTAGACAGATAGGCAGAAACTTTATTCACTTGTGCTAGGTTTTAGTATGACCACCCTGCGCCTTCTTTCAACCTAATCTAGGTTTTTCTAGCATCATACTTTGAGGAAGGCCATGGTAGCCTGACATGTTCCGTACATTTCCAAGCCATCTTTATGTGTCAAGGTTCACTACCTCATGGATTGACGTACTTTCCGTACCTAATTACCTTTTACTTGACATAGACATCGGCAAGGTGATGTTTGGACTAGACGCGAAGACAACTGTGCTCTTTAAAGTCATGCGAGAGTAACTAATTTCATGTTGTCTATCTCACATATTTTTAATGTGGCCACTGAATAGCCCGAATAGCTCAGTGATAAATTCTCTGACTGCATCACTGTGACACAGGTTGGAATTTCAGGCGGGACATCAGCTCCGTCGAATTTTCAGATACACCTTGCTGACAAGTGCCAACATGCATGGAAGCCAAGGTACAGGGCTTCCTCCCGATTGGCTCCAACCAACTAACATCTACCAATATGCATCGCAATGCTGAGCCTCCTAGCTGTTTCTTATCTTTTTACGTGGTGCACACTTTAATTGGTTGTAAGATAGCCAGTCTCCAGAATGTTCTGCTCACTTCTTGTTAGAATATATTCTTACTAAAATCATAAATCTTTTGGTTGTCAGTAACTCCACAACTAGAAGTGAATGAGGTTATGGTCCATTATTCTAGGGAGTTGACTTTCAACTCAACTGGATCACGGGTTCGAGCACTGCTCCACCTAATGAGGTTTCGTCAGCCAGGTAGTATTATTAGCCGTCACTCAATAAGAGCACGAATGTGCACGAGGCTACGATTAGTTTTTTCGAATAGAAGTATAAACTGCTCCCCAGTAATCCATAATTTACCTCACTAGAGTTCATCAACTAATACATGTATAATAATGATTGATAGTGGCTAGCAGGATGCGCACGTCGTTCTGTTTGGGACTCGTCAGCTAGATTTACTTGCCTTCCAGTCGGTGATGTTGTTCCCACCGTGATTTTGACTCTATCACTACTATAAATAGAAAACAGGTAATATCGAGGCCTCTGCACAGGAGTTCATATGCCAATGGAGACCGATAAATTCGGTCGAATCAACGACGGTATGATGCAAGCAATAATACTGATTTATATGTGTTATTTATTATTATTATCACTTATCCCTTGGATTCCTAGTCGAACACTTCACTGCCACGTCACCATTTCACCCCCTTCTCTCCAGTCTTCTTGCACCTGGCTCCACGACTGATGAGAAGCTTTCATTTCCTACTCACACCATCTCCATGTCTCTCTCGACTGGGACGACCAACTGGTCGTTTCCCATTTCGGTTCCACTCCACGGCCTCGCCACGTCTAGCCTAGCCTGGTGTGCGATATCCCCAAATAGTCTCCTCAGTGTATATCCAACCCAATCCAATCCAATCCATCTCCACTTTCTTATACTCCACATTTTTTGGACGATAGGTTGTTGGTTGGTTCGTCGCCAGCCTGCCAACCAGCCAGCCAGCAACAGTTGCTTCTTCCTCATTATTCTTATTATTCTCGCCATCTCATCTTCACTGTCACTATACACTCAGTGTAGGTGGCTGCTGTTCATCTGATTCATGTATATATGTGTGTGTGTGTGTGTGCAGTTTGTTGGAAATGCTTTTCGTAACGCGCAGCCAACTCTCTCAACCATCACATAGAAGCACTGACTTTACTGTGACTGATATCAGTGTTGAAAATCCGGATGTTGTTCACGCTTTATGCTGAGTACAGTATAGTACAGTACAGTGTAGTAGATGTCCACACTGATTATTTCAAATTAATGAAGACCTGTCCTTCTATCTTTCCAATGTTGACTTTAACGTCCTCATCTGTAGCGCCGCCACCGCCACCGCCGCCGATTACTAGTTGAAACGATGCTGTCTTGTCTGGGTAGGTGAAGGAGACAACTTCGTTTAGATTTCTCCTGTTGATGGTGATTGGTGTTTCTTCTTCTTCTTCTTGTTATTATTGTTGGTTGGGTATCTTCATCATCTGTATCTTCTCTTCTTCTCTTCACCTGAAGGAAGTCCCATCTTCGTTCGTTGCGTTGACTCTTCTGCCAACTTGTTAGTTTTCGCCTGTATATCTTTGAGTTCGAGCGACAAGACATTGGACATAAATCATCATGGGTGAAATCCAAATCTTCTTTTGGGGTCTTCTCGTTGGTGTAGCCAGCGTATGCCCATCTTCTCGGTGCTCAACAGTTTGTTACATGATCCACTCCAGTCCAGTTGACCATAAATCAGGAATATGATTGGTGAGGGATAGTAGGCCACGTTGTCTTACTCCTGTCTTCACTTCACAGGCGTCACTGAGCTTTCCATTGTGAATCACTTAGCATGTAGCATCATATAGCATAGCACATAGCTGTTGAATAAGGTTGATTAGGATTTGTGGCACTGTAACCGTAGTGTTGAAGCAGTTACCAAATTACTTCTCGATGGACGCTGTTGAAGACCTTTCCAAAATGGATGAGGTTGAGTTGGCTGGCATTCTCTGCTCTGTTGTATGATGATGAGTAACGTTGCGTAGCGTAGCGTTGCAGTTTTATCGGCACATCGGCCAATGTGTTCAAGTCGTAATTTTGAATTCAAAGCGTTTTCTGTTTAGTCCCTCCAGGACAATATGGCTTAATATTTTGCTTTGGGTGAACAGGAGGATAATTCCTCGTCAGTGTTAATAGTTATTTTAAAAATAGCAGTACAAAACATAATGCTAAACTTGTCAAACATTGATGAGTATTTTTGTTATTTTTTCGTTTTGTTTCTTTTTTTTTTTAGCCTTTAGCACTACAATTGCTCTTTTTACTACGTATATCTCGGAATAATAGTAATCATAATAATGATTCATCTCAGTATCTTCAATCCAGTAAACTATTAATCAATCTTGCTATCTGGTTAGCAGATACCAGAGGTGGTCAAAATGAAAAGGATACATTACTTGCATTGAATCTATTGACAAAAGCCAACTTGCCATCATCAACATCGACTAAGTCATTGTCTACACTGAATGATCTAATCGATTTAAGACATCGTCTTTGGTGTAATTTAAGTCTAGAACAACAGCAAGAATTATCTTTTGAACTACGACAACTTCTCCAGTGTCCATATCCGGTAAATCTCTTTCTTTCTTTATTTGCTATTTAGTTCATGACTCGAATCCTTTGTACGTTGGCGCTTTAAGGTAAAACCTTCTGTATTAATTACTGAGACTGAAGCAATTTAATTTCTGCTTTACTGTTGCTGTTAGCATTTTGAGATGACGAACGACTAGGAAAATGTGACAATCTTGGATAGGGGAAGGATAAATAATGCTGGAGAATGTATAAAAACTATCATGTCAGTCAACTATCAACACATATTAATATTTACCCAATCTATTAACCAATAAAAGAATAACAAGAAGGTCAAAGTTCACGTCATCAGCAGGACAACCAATTGAAATAAATATAGAGACAGTGACAAGACTTTGGGCGGAACAACCAATCACGCACAAGGTCATCAGGCCAAGCTATTAAGCCAATTGTGGAAAAAATTCTATACCTCACTTCTTTGTTAAGTTTCGTGCTGTTTATATTGTCTTGAATGACAATGAAAGTTTCACGTTTAAACTATCCAGCTCAGAGAAGAGAAGCTGTTAGCATTACATGAACTATTTTGTTTAATATTTCCAGTTAATATTTACCAAGTCAACTTATTCAATGTATTAGCTCAGTGTGATGTTGAATCAATCTGCTCAATGACAAGATTATATAGTCTTGATGAGTATATTTCAGTAGATAACCTATTGTAGTGGGTGCTACTGATAAGAATGGATATAAGTAGTATGTAGTGAGTGGTTGGTAGTAGTCGTAGGCATTCACAAGCAATGAGTAAATATTCTGAATAGAGAAACGTAAGAGAAAACGTGAGCATATGAGGAACAAAACGAGGTAGAAGAGGAAGAAGAAGGGGACACGAGACACGTTGGAAAGGTTACCACATTTCATTACTACTAATAATAATATGTTCGCCTTATTCCGCACCATAGTTATGTTTACAGTACAGAATTCTCAGCGTGTGTTATTACATCAATTTACCCATATTACTACATTTTTAAAACATTAACAATGGCGGTGTTTGACATTTTATAATAGAGAGTAACGAATCACAGGACTATCGAAATAATGAATGACTTAAGGGATATGATAACTATTCGTTATTATACAGTTGTTGATTGATAAGACTATGGACTTCACACAATACACAAGCTAAATAAGGTGGTATGGTTGAATTTTTGTATATGGTTATGCGTGCATAGAGTTTAATATATTTGCTCCTTGTCTTCCCAGACAACAGACATTGAGAGAGGTGTGGATGTAGAAGATGCTTGTCATCAGATAATATATTTTTAGCCAGTAGTCTATAAAAGTTCAGATGCCCTATCCACGACTGCCTTTATTGGCTTAGTTAAGGGTGTGGTACTTGCTCTATTAACAGACTCCAAAATCCTACGCTGCAATACAACCTAGTCGTTTTTCTGGAGTCCAGGAAAGAATAAGGAGGAACAATAAGTAAGTATAGGTTAAACACAAGAATTAATGAAACGTAAGAGTAAAGGCTGAGTTGTGCCAGACAGTCTGAGTTTCCTTGATATAAAAGGTCAAGCGAAGGATTTTCCTAGAAATCAGTAAGATATGAGGGGACCAAGAAAGATCAGAAGAAAAGCATAAGCCAAGATGAATCACCCTTATTACATTCTCTATCTATGAGACAAGAGTCATGGGATCGAAACAATGTGCAAAGGTCTTTTTCATGTCTGAAGCTAAAACTAACCATCTGACATTTAGAGGGATTGAGTGTGAGCCCATTTAGCCAAGACCAGTAACCAATTTCCTTGAAGAAGTTGTTAGACTGAGAACAATCAGAAGAGGAGATGATCGGCATGGATACTGTCAGGTCATGAGGATACTTAACAGAGTTGAATTTAGTTGAGGTTGGTAAGTCATGGGAAAAGAAAAAGAGAAAGAACAGCACTTCGAAGCACACTGGCTTCACCAAGCAGTGTAGAGTGTGCTGTCTTATCTCATGAAAGTTTGAATCAAACCAGTTTACAATCCAGGACTCAATGTAAGAACTGGCAAGTTTGTTTGATAATAGAGGTCTAGGGGATAGAGTCAAAGGCAGAAGTATAATCTAAGAAGACAGATCTAACATACTTAGCACCTAAGGTACTCCTTCTGGGTTTGAAAACCCGCAAAGAAGGCTGAAGCACAGAAAGCAACAGTTTTTCCATTATTTGCAGGAATGGTGAGGTAACTATGATCGTTCGAAATTTCACTTTAGCTCCAGCAGATATGGACTTAAGTACCGGAACTATTTTAATTTCTTTCCATGCGGTTGATACATAGTTTGTAGCGAAAAGGCTCATTAAAAATCTTTGTGAGTGGATGGCGTAGAATATCAGGACATTTCGTTAAAAGAATACCTGACATGCCATCCGGTTTGACGGAGGCACTTCGAAGGTTTTAATGATTTCAAGCATTTGAACACCTCTGTTTCATTGAATTTAAGAAAATGGCAGTTAAGTTGTTTAACACTAGCATATTGCTTCGATTTGTACAGTTTTTTTCTTTTTCCCTTTGCAGTCTTAATATACAAAGTGTTGTAATAAGCATTCCTTTGTGTTTCATCCTTTGCCGTTGAGTGCAAATTGATAGAAACGGCTAGTCATTTAATAGCAGAGTAATCACTCCTATATGCTCACGAGTACAGAAGCCTCCTTCTTTAACATTTTACTAGTCAATGCCAAAATCTGGCGCTTTACAGAATTCGTAGATAACCCCGTACCTATAAGATGAAAAAATTTCAGTCAAGATTTGTAGTCTGAATAGACACCAGCTGCACTTTAATTCTTCGAAGAAGGAGGATTCTTAACATCAATCATTGCATGATATTGAAAAGTGGTAGTCTACAGAATTCATTCCATTCCAACCTATGCATAAATACTGAAATATTATTATTACTGGTTGCTAATGAAATCTCAGCTTGGATACAGAAAACTTGTCTATCATTTACCAATTTTTGTCACCTGTGGCGCCGACTGACGAAATATCCAACTATCTATAAAAGGATAAGTATACTGCACTGCAGTCTGTTCTGTCTTGGCTGTGAGATATCGCCGTTAAATGAGGAAGACATGAAAGCGGTTACAGGGTTTTGATCACAGTTGTCCTCGTAGCATTTCTTGTGTTTGTAAGAATCACCGTGTTAGCAGTGTTACGGTCAAGCGAAAGATACTAGGGAAGACACAGGCAAGTTAGTTGATAACGTTGTGAACTTAAGTCGACTGAGGTGGCATGGAGATGTACTGCACTGCCCATGGCGAACCACCGCCTACCTCATCGTGATATACTACTTAAAGTTATCTTAGGTTGGGAAAAGGGTTCAGGGTGGTCAGACCAAGACATGACACCAGTCGATGAAGTGTCTTACTATTGGTCTGAGTCATATAGGGAGCCGTATACTGCCTGGTTGGGGACCTCGAGGCGAAATTAATCAGTGTTTGAGGACTCTTGATGATATCGCTGAAAATCGGTGGTAGTGGCGTAGATGTATTTGCTCCTTAGCGTCTTCTGAAGCTTGAATACCCATACTAACACTTATCTTCAAACTTCTTGCGCTTTCACACAACGTTTCCTATCTCGATATCACTCCTTTTTCATCCTCATATTATGTGCAGTATGGCAACTTGAGCCAATGCACCTGTGTGTATACAGTTCTATACTGATTTTGTCAACCAGTCATTACACTATCAAATTTATCTTCAGAGTAATTGAGTTTCTGATACCGAACTGGAATACTTTTCACCTTCTAATTGTATTTCTCATCTAGAAAGTGTATTGAACACTTGTTTCTCCTCATTTTCATTTCATTTTGCTAGCAAACTGGATGTCATTGTGGTTTCTCAAAGTCGAACTCACTTGTTGACCATGGTGCATCACTTCAACAACACCATGTGTATACACAACAACAATCCATATCTAATATTTACCAAGCACCACAGAACCTTCAGTCACAACCACAACTACCATCATTACAATCTCCTAATTTCTATCCACCAACACCGTCAAATGTACAATTGAGAAATCAGTCATCAAATATTCTAAGTCATCCTCTCTTCCCTCCTCAATCGATGCAATCCTTGGGGAAATTACCACAGCAGCAGCAGCAGCAGCAACAGCAGCAGGGTCGACAGTATCAACGACAACAATCGAATCTCCAACAGAATTCAAGTGGATGTTTTGAACAAAATCCGCCTAGTGCTTTCAATCATCCCAGTTTGTCTGGTGTTATTGACCAAACAAAAAATATACAACTTAGTTCAGGCCAAAATGGACCATTGTAAGTTGGTTTTTTGTCATTTGTGATCGAAATGTTCTCAATAATCATGTTTTTATCTCATACAATGATTCACACCTTATATGTGATGTCAAATAGTACTACCTGACTGCTTGAACCTGTCTACGTGAGACAGGTTTAAAATTCGTAGTCTACTGGTTGAAAGTTTCATAATTGGAACAATGGGCTATAGCTCGACTTTCATTTACAGTACTTTATATTATTGTTAGGTGTTTTGGTGGTGCTATTATCTCGCTAACTGTAAGGCGTAATAGTGGAGCGTCAGCCTCAGGGAGAATTGAGACATGTGAACTTCTTACTGCTCAAGTGGTTTGGTAATTTGTTTTGGTGACCCTGGATGTGATTGGTTATCTCTTCTGTATTCCCGTAATTGTTTACACACACATTTCAATTCAGTGTTCTGCTGACATGAACTCTGACCTTCTTGCGTATTACTTCTCGTGATATTAATTAGTTAATAGAGTGGATCAATGTCAGTCTGCTTACTAATCGCTGATTAGTGTGAATGTCAAGCTTCTAGTAATCCACTGGTATTCACCATATATTTCGTCTATCCAAGATTTCTACACTTTCTTAGTCAAATCCATATTCACAATAATCCGCACACTTGGATATGTCGTGACGCTTTTCCTTCTGGAAAGTTTATTGACTAGTAGGATAGATAACCAGTGAGTAGTAGATCACATAGATGTGGCAAGGAGATTTTAAAAGGGAACTAAAGTTTCCATTGAATTCGAACTAATCACTTCGATTTGGTTTGGGGGCTTGTGAACAATTGATGATTTTTCAGGTTGGTATTCATCATGAACTAACATCAGTTGGAGGAACATTAGAAAATTGGAAGCACTGAACAGCTGTTCCCAGTGCTCCCAGGTTTCCAATGTTCCTCCAGTCAAAGTCGTATAATAAGAATAAGCAACAAGGAACTGGCTGGCTGGTAACGAACCAACGAAGCTAAACCCCTTCTCCCAACAAGAAAGTGGATTTGAATTGGATTGGGCATACACTGAGAAGACCATTTGGGGACATCACACATCAGGCCAGGCGAGGTCGTCGAGTGGAAGCTAAAGGGTAATCGACGAGTTGGGTGTCCCTGCTGAGGGTGACATGGAGGCGACTGCGTGAGTAAGAAATGAAAGCTTCTGGGCTGTGGTGTAGGCAGGTTGAGAAGACTGGAGAGAAGAGAGTGAAATAGCGACGTGGTGTTGAATCCCTATGTTCCAATAGGAACCTAAAGGACAAATAGTCATAATATAATAATCAGCATGGAAGGCTCAGGATAAGGAGTATGCAATGGAGGTTTGAATTTTCGTATGATGAATCTAAGTATATATTATCCTGACAGCTCCTCTGCAATGGTCTAAAGGCTCTTTTAGGGTCACTCTTATTATTTACTTCTATAGTGTATTTATCTATTTACAGCATCTGTCTTTTCCTTGTTTTTATCAGACTATTTGAATGTAATCATCTTTCTAGTCATTTAGGTATATGTTCCTCCCCCTCGACATCTTAGCTCTGTTACTTCTCTCAGTGTGTGTCACCACATACACTTGTAAATTGGTATACACAGCGGGATGTGACGTGGTGATGAGGTTTGTCGTTGAGTATAGGTTGGGTTTCCTCTATAATATTGAGCCTGGCTGCTACCGTTGTCTTAAGATCATACTATTCAATTCTTTCGTATATGATAGCGTGATGTAAACGTTCCTTTTTCGGTACAAAATGCTGACTGGTTACCGATTGGTAAACTTCAGTGCATATGCGTTATTCATGAGTACCTCTGTTAAGGATTTGATTCAGTTTTGACCGAAGCCTACCATACTTAGACGTAATATGCGTCTTACTGATAAGTGCAAATGAGCGTGAAACTTAGATGAAAGTGAGCATCTCATCAATTGACAGCTTATATCCTAGGAATTTTGTCAATACTTATTCAAATCAAATTGAAGTCTTCATGTATTTTATTCAATCGTGATGGTGGTGGTGGTTACGTGAATTGACCATCTTCGATTACATAGATAGAATGTTTATTATTGACATCTTGTACAGTAGTGATATGATATATTGTACACTTTTCACTAAAATAGTCATTTGTACAGTGTGCTTCATTTCGTCCTCTTCTTCTTCTTCCCATTCTTCTTCTTCTGTCGATCTTCTCTTAATACGCTCACGTTGTCTCTTGTTTTCCTCTGGGCAGAATATTTGTCCATTGCTGGTAATTGGCTATGATTTCTGTCTTCTTCCTAATATATACTACTTATACCCATCCTAACCAGTAGTATCCACTACATTAGGATCAAAAGCAAGCAATATTCGAAGTGTTTGCGTTATGACTAGCTGACATTGTTAGTCCATAGGCATAGTTTGTTATTTAGTAATATAACCGTCTATTTTTTCAGAAAATCCCTAAGCTTTTAGTTAAGCTAACTAACCACAAAGGACTCAATGTATACGAACCAGAGTATCAGTGAAGTGTCCACAGTTATATAGCCAAGGGGAATGTCTAAATCAACGCATTTCCAGATCATCATGTTATATTAAAAGGTGATATAGATTAATTTCATTGGGAATACTAGTTGTATTGCATAGAAATAAACATTGAACGAGTGAGTAATCGTCCAAATGGCAGTAGTTATACATGAACTTCAGGCATCTTTCGTATTTATATTATCAGCAGTATTCAAAGAGTGTATTTGATATATAGCAACTTTCATTTGATATGACCACTTGATACAGAGTACTAGAAAACTCATAATATAGGGTTACTGCAGGTAAGTCGGCTTGTGAACCAGTGGGTAAATTGATCTCTAGTTTAATCATTTATTCAGAATATCTCTGCTATTATAACTGTTGGGATTACGCATTTGTTCACTTCATATAGGGGATAAGAAATTTGTCTAATCATTTGGATTTCCATTGTTGTCAATATGATGTAACTTGTGGTATTACAGTGAAACCCTCTTCACTCTCCTATTCTTTCAATATTCTTTTGATATCTTATTCTTGCATAACTACGTATTCCTTTTTTATGATTGACTATCTGAGAGAAAAATACTCGATTTACTTTATCAATAACTCTACAATTTGGTAGACAATAAACTCTAGGATGTTATTATAATTATCATTTTAACTCTGTATAATTAATTATTCCACTGGATTAGTTGTATCTCGGTTATTTACTAAGGAATGAATATCCTACCAAATTCGTTACTAAATCAAAGATGATTACAATCTGAGACTTCAATTCAAAGGTTGATATCTTTAACCAGATTATAACGAAATTTTAGAGAAGTAGTTTCCAGTGAATGGTCATTGCTGCAAAGTCATATTCCATTCGTCTACAGTCAACTAATTCTGAGTACCCGAGGTAATAAAGATTGACTTCGGTTATTCTATCTGTTCTCTGTGAAGTTATCAATTTAACCGCTCCTTTAAAGCTAAGGTATACACTTAGACACGTTTATTGTAGAATAGCTGAACAACATCTAGCATGGTTAACTAAAGGACAAATGAAGAAAAAAAAAGCTAAATACTTATGCATTTGACAAATACTGGTCATAAAGTTAGTACAAGCAAGACTTTTATAGGGATTTACCGTTTATCATCTAGTTAACGGTGTAGTCAACGTATATTCCCTTGCTACACTCAACAGACCCAATCTCCATTCACCTTTAAAAATTGAATTCTTGTATTCAGAAGAAATTTGTGCAATCTTTGGCCATCGGGGTAAACTAACGTTACATTTCAGTTTATTTGAATTTCTATTCAACAGACCATAGTCTGTTAATCTATAATTACTGTTAATCAACTCCTCTACCAATTAATTAGTATTTTGCTATAAATTATCACCCTATATATTACTGTAGAACCAAAGATGAATATATTTATTCCTTCAATCAGTCTTTTTTTCCCTTCTAAACGTGTTAGTGGGGATTTTCAGTCTACTGAAATAAGGAGAAAACAACCATTGATATCGTTTCTAAGCCATAACAGTTGCCTAGCATCGATTTCTTCTGTCAAACAGATCTCTACACTACTCATACTAACATATTGATATATCATTTTGATTATCTGAGATTGCTATGCTTAGGCAGACTAATATTACTGATACTGGGGGTGATGATTGAAGATGAAATGAAAATATGGACCACAGCCAGATTCGAACCAGTGACCACTAGGTTACTGGTCAGCAGTCGAACCTCATAGCTCAGTTGGTAGAGCATCAGACTGAACCGGTGGTCGCTGGTTTGAATCCGGCCGCAATCCAAATTTTCATTGCACCTTCAATCATCATTTAGTATCAATATTTATATATGCTAATACGGAAATAATTTCAGGTCCATTGTAAACTACATGAAGTTGTTGGAACAGATATTATCCTACGATACTGAGTAAATATATAGGATTATTATACTGTATGGTTATGGGCGTCTCCGGCTGCGCATTTCATTTGCTAATCATTCTCTTATATTTATTGTAGAATGCTATATTAAACGTCGAGTTTATTTATTCCTGTTACGTTTTACATTAAAGGTTCTATTTTGTTAAGGATGAATCGTGGCTAGCCGTGGAATCCAGGATGCGCATTTCGTCCTATTTGAGACTTGTCAGCTGGATGTACCTGCTTCCCAGTGAGTGATGTTGTTCCCACCGGGATTCAGACTCGGGAGCGATCGCTTTAAACGCCAGTGCGTTATCCACTTCACCACCGAGCCACGATAGCCACTTCTTGTGTGACGGGTACTAAAGGTTCTATTTATTATCTGTTAATGCGATCATAATATTCGGTTAAGTTTTGAATCGTTAACTATATCAGCGTACAGTATTACGATTCTATACGAATGGTATTCTTTTTATTGCAAAACAAACACTTATACTATATCATTATTATTATTATTATTATCCTTTTTCAGTTCGGCTAACTCAATAAAACCTCCCTTATTACCACCGTCAGCCCCGATTAACACAAATTTTAGTGGATCAATTCCTCCTAATTACCAGTTATCAAATAATATGCCATATGGGATGCCTGCATCTAATATGCAGTTCAGCGCACAACAGCATCAACAACCGTCAGTACCACTTCCACCACCACCGCCGACGCAACAACAACTGCAACAGTCAAAACTTCGACAGGCCCCTACTTCTCCTGGTTGGAATGATCCACCAATTTTATCGGCTAATAAACCATCTCACGTATGTTTTTAGTTCCCCCCTTATATTTTTCTCGTATATGTATGCGTGTATGTATGCTTTTGATGATGTTCGTATACAGGGTATTTGTTTCTTTATGTCTATATGCTGGCACTTACGAAACATGCGTCCATTCTTCACCTTCAACATTCTATATGGCATATATAAAAATTCGCCATTGATTTGAATATCATTTTCCCACTTCTTTGGCACCCATCACGACATATTTAAAGGAACCTAAGAATCCTAAGCTTTTTTTCAGGATTCATACATATTCTATGTAACCCCTCTGTCTGTCTTTGTCTCTCTCTCAAGGCGATTGGAATCGATGTGTTGAAACTTTTCCCTACATAACTAGTTATCGGTCACAGTAGTGCAGATGTATGCACTTCCATTAACCTTCATCTACATATATTCTCTCTTCTGTCATTCAGTTTTCTCCACCTTGATACCACTTTTTCGATGGAGCTTTTCTTTGTAGGCTGCGGTGAATTAGGACAAATTGTGTAACCGATTCACTTTGATGCCATATCCCACTTTCACTTCCACTTTTAGGGAGAAGAGATAAATCAGTTCACGAGGTTATGAACCTTCATCGACTGAGATGGTTGGGACACGTACTACGTATGCCCAGTCACCGATTGCCTCGTTACACAATGTTGGCTGAGGTGGGTCCAGGCTAGAAAAAGGCCCGAGGTGGCCAGACTAAAACATGGCACCAATGTATGAAGTTTCTAACTGTTGGTTTGAGCAATGTGGGGCGATACAGACTAGCCGATTGGGGTCCACGGAAGAAGAGAAACTAGTGATTGGAGACTCTAGGGGATATGGTTGAGAACCGATGTCAGTGGCGCAGATGTATACATATAATATCCTCATCTTAGACGACGCTATACTGAATCTCACCATTTTGTCACTCCTCTTTTCTTTCTTCTCGCACTTTATATTTCTCTTGACTGCATTTTATTATCTTCATCTTGTGCCTCACTACCTTTCTACTTGATGTACTGATATGAGGTGTGGCAACTCTGACCGTCACGCAGTAATGCCTGGTCCTATGTTGTTATTGATTGGTTGTTATCTCTCTTAGCCAAAAGATTTATCACCAAAGTTTGTGAACTGTTGACTTGTGGATTCCGACTCATTGGCTCAATGACAAGGTGGTCACCACGAAATCTGAAGGTCCTGGATTGGCGCCATGGGCAGGGATTGCTGAGGAGTCCTATACTAAGACGGAACAACAGTCAAGTGCTTCCAGGTTTCCAGTCTGTGATGAATGCCAACTGGAAATTTAATAAATCCCTACAAGCCTGCAAATTAGAAAGATATTTTATTTTAAAGGGTTTCATCAGCTACTGTTTACTTGGAATTACATTCGTTTCTAGTAGCAAAATAAGACAAATCGCTTTTTAGGTATACTTAGTGAAAATCATAAGTTGCTGTGTACAACTTTTATGGTGGTGAGTCATAATTTCGTACAATGCAAACAAGGATGGGGGGAAAGATGCATGAATATAGATAAATGATACTGACTGACAGATTAGGAAACATGAGGGGAGGATTAAGATTCATCTGCAGACATGGTCACACCATTATTACAGAAAGTTTGAAAGGAAGGGAATTTACCTGCAGATTGGAAGAAGGGCTACCTTGTCGAAATCCCGAAGAAGAGAGACCTAAGTCTTTGCAGTAACTGGCGCGAAATCGTGCTCCTATCCACTTCCACCAAAAAATTAGGCCACATCACCCTGCAGAGACTTAAAAAACATGCTCTGTATTCAAAATTGCAAAAATTCAAAAAGCAGATAACAGAATGGCAGTCAACTCTTTACGTCAACTTCGACGATTTTGAAAAGGCCTTCAACAGCATAGACCAAGAACTAATGTGTTAGTTGCTTCAACACTACAGTTTTAGTGCTACAAACCTTTATCAATCTCACTCAACAACTATATGAAGACGCCACATACCAAGTGATTCACAATAGAAAGCTCAGTGACACCCTTGAAGTGAAGACAGGAGAAAGACAAGGTCACCGTCTACTATCTATCACCTATGACCTTCCTGATTGTGGTCTACTGGACTCGACTGCAGTGGATCATGCAACAGACAACTTTGAGAAGTGAGAAGATGGGGGCATACACTAGCTAGACCGATGAGAAGATCCCAGAAGAAGATTTAAATTTCATCGATAATGATTTATGTCTAACGTCTTGTTGTACAAACTTGAAGATGTACAGGCGAGAATGAACAAGTTGGCAGAAGAGTTGAGGCAGCCAAGGAAGACACGACTTCGTTCAGGTGAACGTAGAGATAACATACATAGGTGATGTAGATACCCAACCAACAACAAGAAGCATCAATCACGAAAATCGGGATAAATCAATACGAAGTTCTTTCTTTCACGTACTTAGGCGGTGGCACCGGCACAGATGAGGACGTCAAAGACAGCAAGACAGAACTTCAATATTCTGAAATAATCAGTGTGGACACCTACTACACTGCACTGTATTCAGCATAGAGCGTGAACAACATCCAGATTTTCAACACTAAAGTCAGTGCTTCTTTGTGATGGTTGAGAGAGTTGGTTGCGCGTTACGAAAAGCATTTCCAACAAACTGCACACACATACATGAATCAGATGAACAAATGCCGCCTACACTGAGTGGATAGTGACAGTGAAGATGAGATGGCGAGAATAATAAGAATAATGAGGAAGAAGCAACTGTTGCTGGTTGGCAGGCAGGCTGGCTGACAACGAACCAACCAACAACCTATCGTCCAACAAATATGGAGTATAAGAAAGTGGAGATGTATTGGATTAGACATACACTGAGGAGACCATTTGGGGACACCATGCATCAGGCCAGACCATCGCGTTGAAGGTAAAGGGCAAACGACGAGTTGGGCGATGAATCTGCAGCATTACGATTAATAAAGTCAACCATCATGAGCATAGGACCTGGCGTTACTGCGTAGTTTTCCACACCTTATTTCAGCACATCATCCTAGAAGAAGTGAAAAGTCATAGAAATAGAGAGAAAGTATAAAACATCAGTGAAATCCAGTATTGCAACTCAGATGAAGATAATACGTGAAGACATTTGCACTCCTAAGATTGATTCTCACCCGTATCACCTGGACCCCAACCAGGAAGTACACTCATCCGACTTGATGAAGACTTACAATCTCATTAACTGACTGTCCTCTTCGACTAAAATCTCTATACCTGACTTTTATGTTATTATCATGTTGGCACCATGAAGCACAACCTGTGCTATGAAGAAGGTAAAGGTGGTTGTACACTTGAAGGCTCGCTATTTCCTCTGCCTTTTTTAATGACCATATTTCACAGCCATATAGTAGAACAAAGCAGAATGGAGTGCAGTACACTCGACTTCTAATTGATAGTGAGATACAGCGGTGATTTCACAGATTATTATTATTATTATTATTATTATTATTTTTCTATTGGGTTCCTAGTGGAACATCGGGGTTCAGTAGCACACCTCCACTTAACTCTGTTCTCTGCAGTCTTTTCGACTGTCCAGAAGCTTTCATTTCTTCCTCACACCTTCTCCTCCATGTCACCCTCAGCTGGAACGCCCAACTCGTCGTTTCCTCACTGGATTTCACTCGAGAACCTGACGCATGATGTCGCTAAATGGTTTTCTTAGTGTATGCCTAATCCATCTCCACTCCCTTCCACTGCATATTTGTTGGGTGATGTGTTCTTGGTTGGTTCGTTGCCAGCCAGCCAGAATTCGTTGTTGCTTATTCTTATTGTTCTGGGCATCTGATCTTCAGTATAGAGCCAGCGTAGGCAGCTGTTGATGAACGTCTGAAGTTTGTTGGAAATGCGTTTCGTGATACGCCAAGTCTGTGAACCATCACATAGCAGCACTGACTTGACATTGGTGTTGAAAATTAGGATCTTGTTTGTGTTGAGTGCAGAAGATTTCCACACTGATTTCAGATTAGTGAAAGCCTGTCTTGCTGTCTTTTCGATCCTGGCTATGACATCCTCGTCTGTGCCTCCACCTGTAGTTGAAACGATGCTGGTTGCCTAGGTAGGTGAAAGAGACTACTCCCTTTAAGTTACTCTCGTTAATGGTGATTGTTGCTTGTTGATGTTGGTGGTGTTGGTTGGGTATCTTCGTCAACTCTCTCTTCTCTACATTCACTTGAAGTCCCATTTTCGCTGCCTCTTCTGTTAACTTGTTAGTTGACTTCACAGATTGAGTCAGTTAATAAAAACCAACCGAACTTTTTGTATACATGTTGAAATTCCGTCTGTTACTAAGGTAACAGGGCCGATTTCACTTCCCAAGTAAGTGAATTAGTCAACGCGCTCAACCATTTTCCTCCCTATTGTTAAACAAAGTACCCAAAAATAGCAATCCTGAAGCAGCAATTTACCTTTGGGTAGATGGGTGTGTCACCGTGTTCCTCTATTAGAACTATGTCATTTGTTTACTCTAGGTCTAGTAAGGATTTTCCTGCGATCTACTTATTGTCTGTAAAGTCAAATAGCGAATGGGAGATTTTCCTTTCAGCACCTTAATTACAAATTAAGAACAAAGAGAGTGGACTTCTTTAACGGACATCAATACAGACAAGTGTCATGGGTGCCCATAATGTAGGCTCTAACAGGATTTTCAATAGTTCTGTATTTAACTGGTACTCTTTTCAATTAAAGACACTGACATCAGATCTCTTAATCGACTTGGTTACATGTCGCTTTCATACTGAAGATAAATCTGATATCAATCGATTCTGCAAAGACGAATGGTTCATATGTTTTGTATTGTGTAAAGTACTAATGACACCAATTTGTCATGCTGCATGTACGAAACGTTTAGTAATTTCATTGATAAACATTTTGTTTCCCCTCAAGTTTTCTTCTTTAGAACAGTTCCTCTCAGTATTTAATATATATACTACAACCAGTGATGTAAATTCATTGGCATAGCTAACGATGCTGTTGAGCGGGATATTTATCCAC